AACCCACAACTTACACTTGCAGCTTGGGGGCCACCCAGGTAGTGCTAATTCTGATTTAACACAAACACAAAACTGTCATAGCTTAATGCCGACAGAAATGCTCTTACCCTGGCTTTTACCTAACGAAATGCTTCAAGGTCAGTTCATCCTAACCCGATTGCACCAAATCAATGAACTGTCCTGCAGATGATGCTGTAAGTACTATTACACCAATGTTCTCCTTGTGACCTAATTTGCTCTATGGAGATGCACACCCACTCCATTAAGAGAGAAACCAAGATCCCACCTCAGATTCAGATTATCTGGATTTTGATGCTAGCTAAGTGACTCAATCATCCCAAATTTCATTTCCAAACTGAGCCTAAAAATATTACCAATCTCCTGGGAAAGTTATGAACATTATTAATAAGCTAATCCATGAAAGGGACTTAACACAGCTCTAGTCAATAGTAAGCATACAATATAGAATTAGTAGGTTTATTCTCAAAATGATGAGGACAAACAGGTATGTTAAGTTTTTCCTGGTAAGTTACAAAGAAAGCTTTATGAGTGTTTTGGGGGGATGGTGTCCAACTCGTAAAGACATGCCTTAGGCCTTTTTTCAGACACATGACCCCTTTGAATCCCTGAAGTGCCAACTATAGTCGGGCAGCCCCCACTGTGAGAGGCCAACTGACTTTGCCACCAACTTTATTTTTTTTTTTAAGATTTTATTTATTTATTTGACAGAGACACCGCGAGAGAGGGAACACAAGCAGGGGGAGTGGGAGAGGGAGAAGCAGGCTTCCTGCGGAGCAGGGAGCCCGATGCGGGGCTCGATCCCGGGACCCTGGGATCATGACCTGAGCCGAAGGCGGATGCTTAACACCTGAGCCACCCAGGCGCCCTGACTGTATTGGTTTTCATTACTAACATAATTGGACACATTTCCTTGAAATTGGTTGAAACAAAGTTTTAACAAGATAATATGCTGGATAATTCCTGATGCTTACTGAAGGATACAGCTAGAGAACTTGCGCATCAGGCAACCTAAGCTAGACCTTGCTTTAAAAATAGACTTGCTTTCACATCTAAGATAATTGGAGATACAAATTTTTTTCTCACTGCAAGACCCTAAAATGTAAGATGAGAACACAGGTCTCAAACGTTCCACTTTAGCCTGGCTCTGTCAATGGATGGAGCACTGGGCTTCCAGGAGCGCACTTGCTGTGATGAGCAGTGGGTAACGTATGGAAATGTTGAATCCTATACCATACAGCTGAAACTAATAGTATAGTACACTGTATGTTAACTGGAATTTAAAGAAAAACTTAAAAAAAAGTCTAATTTAATTTGCTAAGAGTCACGTAGATCCTTGTAATATCCTCAATTCTTCCTATGCTAAATTTTGATGGCACTTTGTAGTCACACATAAAACAGGAATATTTCATTTATGATCTCCAAAATACTAAGGATTAAGGATATCATGCAAAGAAATGAACTGAATAACACAGTAGGAATATACATCCTCACCAAGTGTGGAAAATAATAGGAACAAGTTATGCTGTGGAAAGACCCAGTACATTTCTAGAGAAAGCATAGGACGTGCAACAGTAACCTTTCTGGTTTGTCACTCCCTCACTGTAACACGGGTGGAGCTACATTGATCTTCGACCTTTCAGACATGGCTGCTGCCCAGCCCCTGGAGGCAAATGGGTTTTGACTCTGTGGCCCGAGCTGGCCTATGGCTGGAGCAGCGGCTCCAAACTGGCAGTGTAATGTTCCCAGCACCTAGCCCAGGTCTTGAGACATGCTCCGCACTGAAACGTGTTTTCAGATGAACAAATGAAGGCAGAGTCAGGTAGTGTATGTCAGGTTTTCTTCTTATTTGAGAGAGTGCATGCACACGTGTGTGAGCAGAGGGAGAGGGGGAGAGAGAGAATGTCCAGCAGACTCCCTGCTGAGCACGGAACCCGAAGCGGGGCTTGATCCCAAGACTCAGAGATCATGACGTAAGCCGAAATAGAGAGTTGGAAGCTTAACCAACTGAACCCTGCAGGTGCTCCTGTCAGTTTCTTTCTGATGTGCTGTTCTGGTATTGGCCCTGGTCCAGCAGGAAGAATGCTGTGTGGCCTATGGGGCAGGCATGTGTGTGTGTGTGTCTCCAAGTAGGTGGTCTGAGCAGTTTCATCATCTTAGATCCACGTAATGCACATAGATATTGTTTGCTTTTAGGACATATGAAAATTCCTAATGTGTAAGAGGAAAAGATATTCAATCTGTGCTTTCTCTATAGGATTTTAACCTACAGGCAAACCGAAAACAGCACCTCATCTACTCATTACCAGGCTTGTTACTGGAGTTTCAAAGTCCACTCAGGGGCAAGTTCAATACCTTCAGTTTTTTAGGAAAACAAATGGTGTAGGAGAAAAAGGAATCATTACCTTTAGCTTACAGAAACCCCAAAGAACACTGGCATACTCCTGCTCATTCTACTCAAAGCTAAGTCTTTGCTTTCCAAATCTTAAAACCTTAAATCTGTAATCTTTGAGAAGGTTAGTTTGGGCATCCTCTGGCTAAACGGAAGAAAGAAAAAAAAAAAAAAAAGGCAAACCCCATCACCAGAGAAAAGCTGTAAGGAAAGGAGCAGGGCTCAGGCACCGTGGAGAATGGATGTTGAGGAATGCGTGGACATGCACACAAAGAACTGACACGCAAAGACTTTGAGTACATGATTGCTAAGTTTAATTCAACGGTTATACCCAATCCTGCCTTGTAAAAACAAAATGCCCCTATCAAAACTACATTCTGATGTGAGTAAAGGCTTCTTGTTTTTGATACAGCTATAGAAAAAATTTGGCACCAAATGCACATAAAAGTTTTAAGGCTTAATAAAAATACAGACTAATAATTTTCAAAATGCAGCTTACAGGTTGAGAACAGGATGCTGAGTTAATGAATTTCCAAATTCAGGCAGTCCCCGATGTATAGAGCATTTTCCAAATATAAATGGCCACCTCCATCCAGCTCACAGGAGCATAAGTCCTCTCCTCCTTTTCCCAGTGACCAGACTACCAGGCACTCTAAACCCACTTCTACAGCCCCAGGGAGGGAAGGCTGGGGAGAGAAGGAAGGCAGGGCATCTCTCTGCACTGCACAGTTCTCCTTTGCCTGCATCCCCACCTCTGCTCCCCATCTCCGCCCAATATCCCTGCTGATGGACAGAATTGGGTGGACAGCGAGGGCAGGGGCGAAGCTACAGGGCCCAGCAGTACAATGTCAGGGTTCCTGGCAATCCAATTTGGCATCCACGGATCATTTTCTTGCATACTAAAAACCACAACAAAACAGTCATAAATGGAAGTTCACTTCTACCATGAGAACATTGCGTTAAGCAAAAGTTAGTGTGTTTGGGCTTAAACCCTAACTACCATTTATGACATTTTCTAATGGGGAAAAAAATGCTCTGAATTCCAAACAACTTTCCTATAAGTGGCCATTTGAAGGGTGGAGACAGGAAGTACTTGAGAGAGTCACATGGAAAGAGTTTCTTGCCTCCCAAGCGAACAGGGCAGTTGAAAGGGGGGAAACAAACGGTCTTTGGTTGACAGAGCCACGTGCAGGTCCCCTCAGTGTGCCAGGTGTAAAAGGCGGAGCTCAAGCAGATAGCTCCTGCAGGCACTTAAGTGTCTAGGCCACTGTGGGTACGATGAAACACAGCATTGTTGCTTTTCTAAATTTCAGTCACGATGCAGGTATTTTTAGTACCTAGCATTAGCTTTGTAGGCTCTCATACCAAGATGTACCCCAACCTGAAGCCTGTCCTCTGTTAACTGTTGGTCCAACATGAGTGAGGTGCAAGGTCTGAGACTGAGCCCTAAAGGGCCAACCGGGAGAAACTCTGCCTGCTGGGACCGAAGCAACAGCGCTCTGGCCAGCCCGTTCTCTGTGCCGACAAGCATCATGGAATCGGCTAGTTGAGACTTCGATGTCAAACTACTTAATTTTCTGGGCCAAGGTCTCCAGGTTTCTTCTGGAAACTGAGTATAGTCCAGAGGTTCTGCAAAGCTTTATAAAGAGCAGCTAAGCAAAGTTTCTTCCTCTTGCTTGTACCTGAGCAACTGACTTTTTCCTAGAAACGTTGTCAGAAACAGGGCAGAGTCAACAGTCACTTATGTAAAGCTGGTATTTTAGAAAAGCTTCTTAGATATTATTAAAGATTCAAAGCGAAGAACCTAAGGTTCTGAAGCAGCTCTTCTTCCCACTGTCAACAGGAGTCAAGACGCATGAAGGATTTCAGTCACCCCATTGCCTGGATGCATGTGGATAGTTCTATAGCTGCAGGAGCCGGGGCGGGGGAGGGTGGGGGGGCTTGCCCACAGGAAGAACTGTGGTTTGACAAGGGAGCTGTCTGCATCCCTGGAGAAGGGCACAGGCCTAGACAGGCGGCCACTCAGGAAAAGAAGGAACAATTCACGGCAAAACCAGCCTGGGAATGAAAGGCAGAGATTCCTACGTAAGATCTGGCCAAGCTTTTAGATGGCAGAAATGGAGCACCTCACAGGATCAGGGCACAAAATCTTTTCATAAAGCATGAGACTGAGAATGACTTTTTGGTTTTTGTTGACAGCTGCCGAGGACAAGCAACCGAGGTGGCTCAGGAAGCGTGCAGAGCACCACACTGGAGCTGACTGGAAAGCAGGCACCAGGAGCCCGCAGAGGCAGTCCCAGGGATGGAAACGGTCCCGTGGTGAATGGGGTGAGGACCTGCGGGGCCAGCCAGAGACCCCCAGTCCCCACCAGTAGTGTTTTGGCCTGTGCCTTGCTCCTCTATCCCACAGCAACACACAGGTTGTTTCTTATTTTCTTGCCAACGCTTTAAACTTAAACTCTGCTACTGTGTTCGTGATCCCCAGACCCCAGGTCGGCCAGCAGAGCGCCAGTATGGCGAGACTATGGGCAGCCCCACGCCACCAGGCCTCAGCGTGGCCTCGCACCACCTGCCCCCACACCCCTCGTTGAGTCCTGTCACGTGTGCAGTTACAGTGAGTCCCGTTTTATCCCCACCAAGAATGGTCTCCCGCAGTCTGGAGGTGAGGTCCCCCCCGGCTCTGCGACGGCAGTGGGGCCTGAGCAGCGGCTTCAGATACACAGCAGACCCTTTCCCCACCCGGCTCCTTTGGGCTAAAAGAAACTATAGTATTTGAAATCCTATCTCTCCGGGTTCTTGTCTGGCTACAGACGAAGCAGCAGCCCCTCTTAGTAGAAGGAGATACTGGATTTGCCTCCAGGAGGGTTGAGGACTTTGTTATGAGAGCGCGGCCGCGGGCCCAACCTGGGCTCATGGCTGTCCCCCGTGGGCATGGGCACCGGCTGCTGGGCGCGGCCCGCTCCTCCAGGGCCTCCCTTCTCACCGGGCTCTTCTCTGGGCGACGAGCTCGTTGAGGCTGTGGGACAAAGTCGGCATGCCATCCCGTTAGAGGCCACAAACCAAACAGGCAAGCTGTGCCTACAGAGTCTGTGGCCCAGAGCAGCCAGCAGGAAGTGTACGGCGTAATGGGAAAAGAGGAGTGCACAGAGCCAGGCCTCCATCTTGTCCCAAGAAGACTGATTAGTGGAGGCCGTTCCTGAACTGGGCCAAAGCTGGGGCTTCGTACTATAAACTCCTAGATAGATTCCTAATAAGCCGATTACTTTACACTGCTTGTGGGACCCCATTCCCCCTTCTGCCACCTCAAGAATAAATAACCAACTTTCTCAACTTGAACATGAAAAGGAAGAGAAGGAGCTCATCTCAACTGGGGATCTAACAAGGTGAGGCAAGGCTTGCTGACACTCCTCCTCGGACTTTCTAGATGAATGAATGCCCATGTGTCTTGGTTATCAATTGAGGGAGTGGTGACCTGCAGCAGAGCCAGCTAGGAGAGCGAGGCAGGACTCAGAGCCAGACGCCCAGCACCTGGCCTTCTTCAAATACTACGTATCATTTTGGCAACAAACGTGACCTTGCTTGTTTCTGTCAGCAGGCCTGGAAGGGGCACAGAATGTTCCCGCTCATCCTCTGGGGGTGTACCGGCACCTCTTCCAGAGCAGAACACTCAGTGGAAGGGACAGAAAACAGCAACTCACCTTTAGGGGCCAATTTTGGGTCTTCTCCCTCACACAAGAACACGTGGTCCTGCAACGAGGCAAACCCCAGGTCAGTACGTGATTCAGACATTTTACCCTCATTCAAATGGATGATGAAAATCAGGGCACAAATGGGTTTATGTTTAACTTTTCAACATCTTTTACTGTGGCCATTCTGAACCATGAGCAAAACGGAGGGAGCAGTGCCATGAATCCCCTGTAGCCTGCCACAGCTGTGACGGTCACTCACTGCCATCCAGATCTCAGCCACACACTTCCAACCACACTCCCTCTGCCCCTTGGGCGAGTATCCTAAAGCAAATCCCAGATATGTCGATTACCCACAAATATTCCAATTTAAAAATGTCCTTTGGGCGCCTGGCGGGGGGTGGGGGCGGTGCACTCAGAAAGTGAAGCGTCCAACTCTTAATTTTGGCTCAGGTCATGATCCCAGCACTACACTGTTTGGATTAGAACTTTGTAGTCAGTTCTGAGATTGGGAAGTAAGAGTTCTCCAACTCTGTTCTTCACTGTTAAGCTGTCTGGCTACCAAGGGTCCCTTGAGATTCCCTATGAATTTTAGGATAGGTCTTTCCACTTAAAAAAAATAAAAATAAAGTAAAACCAAAACAAACCAAACAGTATGGTTAGGACTTTGATAGGGACTGTATTCTTCCCCTCCCCCGCTTTTTTAGGGGTGAGGGGTAGATAGAGAATCCTAAGGAGACTCCTTGCTGAGCGCAGAGCCCAATGTGGGGCTCGATCTCACAAACCTGAGATCATGACCTGAGCCAAAATGAAGAGTTGGACACTTAATAACTAAGCCACGCAGGCGCTGATAAGGACTGTATTTTTTAAATCTCTTTTTAATCATCAGGATTACTGACTGCCCTCTAATGACTGCTACGTGAAGTTCTCCATTTTGTATTACTCAGACTGAATCCCTGTGGTGTCCTGTGGTGTCAATTAATATGAGGGTTGGTCTGATTTGGGCCTGATTTTTTGACAAGAATTTAAAGGTGGGCTATGATGTTCTGTAAGGACATATATTTTTGGTTGTCTCTCATTTTGTGATGTTAGCCTCTGATGCTCATTGCTGAGATCCAGGATTTTATTACAAGTCGGCAAAATGGTGATATTTGAATTCTGTTATTCCGTCTCCATTTTTGGCTGAGTACCCCTATAAAAGGAGAATTCCCTCAGCAGCAGCCCCCCCCACCCCCCCAAGACGCACTGCATGCGGAGACGCTAGCAGATGCCGCACTCTGTCCTGCGGCATTCTCCAAGCCACAAATTAGACTTTAGAAAATAGTGAGGGCGCCTGGGTGGCTCAGATGGTCAAGCGTCTGCCTTCGGCTCAGGTCATGATCCCGAAGTCCTGGGATTGAGTCCCACGTTGGGCTCCCTGCTCCTTGGGAGCCTGCTTCTCCCTCTGCCTCTCTCTCTCTCTCATGAATAAATAAATAAAAATCTTAAAAAAAAGTGAAATTTTATGAGATGTTCAATTTTCTGAAGAGCCTCCCTGCCCTCAGGGCAGAGAGGGGAGCAGCCCATCGGCAGGGGCAGTCGCCTCTACCTGCACACCGAGGCCAGTGTCCCCAGGCTTCATTCATCACGAGACTGGAGTGTCTTTCTCCGCTGACTCAGGAGCTGTGAAACTCCGTGACTAAGGACTGCACTCAGCAAAACCAACATTACCCACTCTGCCTCTTCCTGGTCACACACCACACCTGCCTTAGAGCCTTTCCAAGGAGTACTTAGCTCAATTTTTGTTTCTCTTACTTTCACGTCTGCTACCTGAATGTAGCCCATACCTTGGGTTTGTTTGGGTGTGCCAAAGGTGAAGTGGCAGCAACTGGGGAACCAAAAATGTCACTGGTCTTCCCGCCAGGTGGGTTCAGACGCTGTCGAGTCTGCACAGGCATGGATTCGTCAAAGATACCGCTTCCTTTCCCCCCTGTAGAAACAATTACATAACAGTGAGCAACCCAGAATAGCCACTGGGTGCCACCCTCCACCTTCATTACTTCAGAGACCTCCCCTCACAGGGACACCCCAGTGCCAGTCCCTAGTTCAGGCCAACAAGGAGGGGCGATCAGGTTGATGAGGGTTCCTAAAGATGTACGTCAAAACGAACCCCTTTATCGGGGGCCTGTTGGGACCTTCATTTCTGGAAGCTGACCTGGGGTGGCCTCTAGAGCAAGATGATAAGATGGCATAAAACAGCATTTCCCGTTTAGAACTTCCTTAACCTTGAACTTGTCATGCTGTCCTGTTGAAGAATCTTCTTCATTAAACCCATAAAAAGTTCTTTATGTTAAAAGCAAATAGCTGTTGCATTTTTAGGCCAAATAGATAGAAATGAATTTAACACCACACCATATTCATGGCAAACCTGGAATCTGGAAAAAACATCTATTAGTCATTCTTCTGACCTCATCCTGGCCAGAACTCCCAGGGACAACTAGGTATGTCAGCATATTACAGACACACAACACCCTACAGTGCAACTCTAAGTGATATGATGAACCGTAATGAAAATATGCATCTAACATGTAACTTCTCATAAGCTGATGAGTCTGGCCAGACATCAAAGTCAACGCCCAAATGCCTCCGTTAAGCAGAAAGACGGCGGCCACACAACACCAGCTGGCGTCTCTTCACTTGGCAAACGCCGGCACCTTTCCGCGGAGAGCTGTGCTAATGGAGGTGGGCCGCCAGTCACGGCCCTGGGGCACCAAGGACTTATAATCTTACAAGAGGAACGAAGACGCATTCCACTAACTAGCTAGACGACCACACACCCCATTAGTTGGCCTTTCTGTGCCCCCAGATGCTCAACTATAGAAAGAGCAGAACAAAGGGACCTGCCGCAGGTCCTTCCAATGACTCACCGTAGCTCACACATCAAATGCTTAGAACAATGCCAGGGACACAAATGCTCAATAAATGTTCACTTTATTTTCCATGTACTGATAAAGAAACATCTCCTGGACGTATATACTGCTCAGTGAAAAAAGGCAGAAGACAATCTATACAGTGTGCAACGTTTTAATATAAATGGAGGGGGTATTCTCACTCACCTGTGTCTGAACAGAAAAATGGTTACTCCATCCCCCCTCCCTGACTGTGGCCCCCATGGGGGCTGTGTGCACAGGACCCGGGGCTGGACGGGCTGTGGGATGCAAGACTGCTTAGCATGTCCTTTCTCAGAGCTTTGATCTTCTCTTACTGTTTTCAAGAGCCCACGTGGCAAGCAGTCACTTCCTGGCTAAAATCGCCCTCGCCGCTAACAGAGAAACACGAGCACGAAGAACAACCTGGACACCTAGCTCCCCGTGTGCCCCGCGGGGAAGGGCTCCATCAGCGGTTCGTGCTCTCACTTGCCTTCAGAACCATCCTGAGGGCCCCAGCAGCCAGAGCAGACTGTAAAACAGAGTGGCCTCTGGGGCGCAGCCTTGTGGGGACACATAGAGTGCAAGCTCAGTGAGGACTGGAACAGAGCGCAGGAAAGAGCCCTTTTGGAGCAGGAGAAAGGGTCAAGAACGTGCGGGGCTGCCTGCGCAGGAGATGCCTGCACACTCGTGTCATCTTGGTGCCCACATACCTCACCCTCCCAGGACCCACAGGCCTGGGCTGGAGATGCCCACACAGCACAGCGCTGGGCCGCCAGGTGGAGCCCCTGTGTGGTCACTTGCCAACTCTGAGCCCAGGCAAGTGGCTCGAACCTTCTCGCCTCCATCTATCAACTGGTCATAAGTAACAAGAGTACTGATCTAGGGCCATGGGTGACATAAGCGAGTGAATGCACATGAAGTGGGCAGAGCAGTACCTGGCAGAGTCAGCCTTCAGTGATGCTGCTGGGCTGCTATCAACAAAACATCCCCACCACCAAGTGGAGAAACCACGGCTTCAGCTCATACCACACTGTGCCATTTCTGGTGGTGCTACAAAGGCTCAAGTAAATTCTCTTAAAAATGTGCATTCGGTTTTTTAAAAAAAAAAAAGAAAAGAAAAGTAACTCAATTTGAAGTTTTTGGCTAAAGACACTGCTCATTAAAAAACTGTTCTTAAATTATTAAACATAACACAAAAGTTCCTAAGACATAATCATCACAAATAACGAAGACGACCCAGGTCACTACCACCTAGAGTGTACAGAGCACAACGGCTCCCAGAACCCTGGGTGTCCTTCCCCGCACCCCAGGTCACCAGATGCCTGCATTTCCTGCAGACCACAAACTTGTTATCGTTGGTATATTTTTACTGTATGTATGTCTAACACTAAACAATGTAGTTCTGTTTTTGTACTTTATAAAAAGGAATCACCCTGCGTGTCTGTCAGTCAACATTTTACCTGAAAGATGAACTCAGCTCTGAAGAAAGAAGTTTAATTTAGTCATAAAGATAAACTCAAGATAGGCTTTTTTAAAAGATTTATTTTCGAGAGAGAGAGCGAGATAGAGCACAACACACACAAGCAGGAGGGGCGGGGGTAGAGGGAGAATCTCAAGCAGACTCCATGCTGAGTGCGGAGCCCAGCAACCCTGAGACCATAACCTGAGCCAAAACGAAGAGTCAGACACTTAACTGACTGGGCCACCCGAGCGCCCCTAAGATAGGCTTCTGTAAGAACCAAATTGCAAAAGACAGACACCGTCCGTGCTGGCAGAGTGGGGAGCGAGCATCGCACACATGGTGGTGCATGCTGGGGCCCTCTCACAACCAGGTGGAAGTGTCTATCAGAATTTTAAACTAATCCAGCAATTCCATTTCGAAAAACTTACCCCAACTGATTTTTCAGGTAAGTTTAGAGCATGAGCTCTGGAGTCAGGCAAACTGGGATCCAAGGGCTAGTTGCACCACCAGCTGGGTGTAGCAGTGAACCTCCCTGAGCCTCTGTTTCCCTCTCTGTCAAGAGGCGCCCCCCACCTACCTCCCAGGGGTGGAGAGAGGGCCAAACGAATACATGGAAAGCACTGAGCCCAGTCCCTGGCCAATATGGAACTGTCCATACATCTCCGCCATCAGTGTTAGAACAGGGAGAGTAATTTGGGAGAGATGTGAGCCAGGCAACCAGCAGAGCCCGTGCGTGAAGGGTAAAGAAACACTGGGTATGACAATTCTTGGCAAATGCTCAGTGACGATCACGGCTCAGTCACGCCCCCCATCCTGGACACGCTTCTCAATCAGGCCCTCTCATCAGAGGGCAGGAGCCTGGGTCCATGGAGGGTGGGGGCGGGGGGGCACACTGGCAGTTTTCCCTTTCAGCCTTCCCTTGAGAATTCATCAGATTGTTTGCCAAGAGCACTTGGCAGGCCAGAAAACAGACCCCAAACAACAACAGCAGGAGAAGCAGGAACCCAGCACAGGGAGTGAGTTCAGCGGCCGTTGCCACATCTTGTGACCGCGAACAACACAGAGGCTCTCTATCTCTCCAGTCTAGAGGGGCCCAGGCTGCCCGCTGGGGAATCAGATGAGGTTGAGGGTCTACAGAGCAGCACCGCCCCAAGCTGCCATACTTTCCAGGGAACCTGACACCCCAGGGGCAGCTCCAGATACACTCCGTTGAGCCGGCAGCCAGTTATAGGTACACAAGCTAACATACAGTACTTATTCTGCTGTCGCCGCTACAAAGATGTTCGGGGCTGACCACTCCAGCCCCACACCTGTAAGCTGGACAGATGAGAATGTTCCTCACTTTTAAGAACCACCTGCTTCTTTTATATCCCAAACTTTAACCCTCCACCCACCCTCTCCAGCAAAAAACCACCACCCAAACACAAAACTAGCTTTTGTTCCTCTGGGTTTGGTCACTGCAGCGGGGTAAGGAGCAGCTCTAACTTTGGTTCTGTTGGATTTATTATTTGCCTGAAATACTGACCCCTGTGTCCGGCCTCTCAAAATCTTCCAGGAATAAACCTCATTTTCCCTTGGGGATACGGAAAAGGGAGAGCTCCTCAGCTAACTATCACCATACGGTCGCTCAACTAGATAATCTATCAGCCAAGAAAAAGATTTTTCTAAGATTCTTTCCCACTGTGACTTCTGGAATGTGGGATAAGCATTAAAGAACTATATGGACTGAGTCATCCTTTTTAGAGTTTCGATCCCATTGACAATCTGAATCAAAATAGTCTCCCTAAGAGAAATGTTTAAATGCACAACTTGCACACAATTTCTGGAATTGCAAGGGCCCATCAGAAAACTGGGAGAACCTCCCTGGTGGGAACCAGAATCCCGTCATCTGCCTCTGTATCCTCAGTGCCTGGACTCAGCCACGGTCCGATGACAGAGGAAGGAGGAGTCAAGAATGACTGAGCTGGGGACACCTGGGTGGCTCCATCTGTGAAGCATCAGCCTTCGGCTCAGGTCATGATCTCAGGGTCCTGGGTTCGAGCCCCACATCAGGCTCCCTGCTCAGCAGGGAGTCTGCTTCTCCCTCTGCCTCTGCCTGCCACTCCCCTTGCTTGTGTGCACTAATAAATAAATAAAATCTTTAAAAACAAACAAACAAGAAAAAAACAAAACAAAGTTGTCCTTATGTTCTAGAACTCTGACAGCAAGGGATAACCTACCAGAAAACAAGTGAAAGGGTCAATGCAAAGAAATAAAAAATGTTATCAGAAGAGCATAAAACAGAACATGCAGAGGCCAAAGGACTGATGATTCACAAAGGCCCATACCTGGAGGATTGGTCCTTTTAGGGATGTTCTGAGGCTCTTCGGTTGGTCCAAAAATATTAGATGCCATCCTATTGGGCCTGCTTGATGGAGTAGCTTCTTCTGGACTTCCAAAAAGATTGCTGGCCTCTCCACCCGGGGGCTTCATGGCCCTAGGAGCACAGATTGAGCATGAGTCACCGATGGCCGACCTGGCTGAATGACACACCACGATTCTTTAGCACTGGCAAGACTGGTCTACAGACAGCCACACGGCAAGCAAACCTTCACTGCCCTTAAAGTTCTCTTTGTATATCTTGGTTATGCCAAAAACCCTCTAGAAATGTACATACTTGGAAATTATTCCTGTGATCCTCTCATAAGTAAAATTATTTTCCCTAAAACAATGTGGAAACTGAACCACATTCAGTAAAGTTTAATGCTCATTTTAATTAGTACCCAATAGTGTTTATTACTACAAACACACTCAGGGCGCCTGGCCGGCTCAGTCAGTAGAGTGTGCAACTCTTGAACTCGGGGTCGTGGGTTCAAGCCTCACGGTGGGTGTAGAGGTTACTTAAAAAATATATATACAAAAAAGTAAAACAATACTGTGAACATATTCAGGATTGTTTAATACCGTAGCTTACATTTGCTAAGTGCTTACTATCTGCATTTACTGTTCCAAGGACCTTACACAGCAGCCCTCTCGGGCAGGCCTTATTTTCACAGACAATGAATCTGAGACAGAAAAGAATCACAAGAAAGGTCATGTGGGAAGTAGCAGAACCAGAACACAAATCCCGGCAGTCTGGGTCCAGAGTTCAGACTATGCTCTCAGGGTCAGGATCAATGTGCAGAAGCCACCCTAGGATAACCACCTCCAGTCCTCAAGGCCCGTAAAACCAACGGATTCTCATCAGAAAGATCAGAGGGCACACCTGCGGGCACCACTGTTCACACCAACAAACGCAACCAGGGGTCCTGTCCACCACCCCAACACCCGCCCACTCAGCCACCAACAGCGGCATCCACCCCAAGTCTCGACTGGGGGGAAACGGCCACGCACCATCTGGAGGTTTACAGGAAACACTTCAGATGTGGAACACCAGGGCGCTGAGTCACTTTTTATGGCAATAACTGAAGAATTAAATGTTCACAAAGCGTTGCCCCGACCCCCCAGGGCTTCAGACTACTCCAGCAGAGCAGTCACATGCTGAAGTCATGTGCATCTTTTCAGAACACCCACAGAGATTTTAAAGGTGAGAGGGCCCTACTGAAACAGTTCTAAACCAGCGAGGGGCCCAGGCTCCTTCCCAAGTCCTCAGCGACAGGGCTGGCTATGATTGCGGACCCGGTGAAAGAGATGGAAATGCGGAGCTCTGCGCCACCCAAAAACCACCGCACTCCGCAAACACAGCCCACAGCTTCGCTCACAAGAGCAGGACATCTGAAATGTTGTTTTTTCCTTAAAAGAACGAGAGAGGGAGCCGATCATTCATTGCAATTTAAAGCGAAGTGACTTCTCAGACTCTCCAACTGCAAGGAAGACTGCAGAAAGCACCCCTCCGCTTTACCGAGGGCGGGCAGACCCCTCGGGCAGGCTCCCACACGGCGCAGAGTCCCTGGCCGCCTGAGAGGAACGGGAGGGTGGATGCCTACTCAATAGTTAGTAGTTCCTTAATGATTTGGTGAAGGAAAAAAAAATACTTCAGTTTGAGAAAAAATTAAAACAAAACCCTAATAACCACAATTCAGAAAGGTGTTAACAAGTCCTCAGGTCACACAGCCCCGATCACAGTGACATTTTCTGTATTCCTCTCTGTATTCCTGCTTGGCTACAGCAGGTCCAACATGCTTGGGTCTCCATAGCCATCTCTTTGGAAAGTGGGGTGGGGATCTGCAATCTTCAGAACTGAACTGAATTTAACATCAAGTCTCCTGCTGAATTAAAAATTTATTTTACAGACTTACTTGAAACACAGCTCTGCTTTCAAACCCCCAGGTCCTGCTCCAATCTGAAGCAGACTCGTCCGGATTCAAAGCTCTTAGGACTCACTCTGCATCCCTGCAATCTCCCAATCCCCTCTGCCCCACGCCCTGGCTTAACCCATCCGCACAGCCCCTGAGCACCTGTCGCCAGAAGCTGGCGCCAGACCCCATGCACAGAAAGGTGGGTGACAGCAAGTCCTGAGTCTGGAGAAGCTTTATTCACCAGGAAAGCCAGCACCGCGGGTGCAGGGGGCTCTAGTGTTCCCATCAGTGATGCCGAGGGCGCTGGGTCTTGCTGGAACCCCAAAGATCTCTGTGGAGGAGCCAAAGTCCAAATGGAGTCTGTGGTCTGTGTGTGGGAAGGGTATCCTTGGGGCAAAGTACGCAAGCCAGAGTTGTTTGAAATGACCAAATGTTAATTTTGGGTGGTGGAAATACAGTGTTTATTACATTATTCTGTGTACTTTTCTTAATTTTACTTTATTTTACTTTGAAAACAAGGGAAGAGAAACAGCAACCAAGAATGCTGTGCATAGTGGCCAAGCTACCTGAGAAGGGACAGCGACACCTTCATCCTGAAGGCAACGGGGTGGACGCTAGGGTCTCCCAGCCTTGTAGCAGTCATGCAAATCACACAAGCTGCCCCAGCAAGGTCTCCAATAAGGGAACTGAGAGTGGAAGAGGTTCTTTTGATAAAAATAGAACCCACAACAATGCTCAGTGTGGCCTTCACCAGGCTCACCAGCAAAAGCAGTTACCTCTAGGACACAAATTACAGAGAAGATGGGAATACGAGTGAGCTCAGAGCTGACAACGTGGGGGACGTTCCAATTACAATGACCTTGTTCTCTTGTCTACCCCTCACAATAGTCTAATGAAGACACTGAAGTACACAAGAGGAGCCAGAGGGCTGGTGACAAAGAGCCACGGATATAGCGCGAGGGGACGATGGTACCAGCTGAGGTAGGGAAACAAAAACCACTCTCACCTCCAGGTCCTGAGCCTCCCTCGGAGAGCTGGTGTCTGTGTTTCAGAAAAGCCTGTGGACTGGGCACACTTGCAGAGAAGCAGTAATAAAAGGGAGACTTGGATAAATCCTTTACAGGCGTACATTTTACAGCTGAAAGGGAGGACCTCAGATCAGGGATGGCTCAGGCATGACGCTTGGACAGTTCAGAGTCCCTTTAACACAAGATAATCCCTCAGCAAGAAAACAGAGGGGCGCCTGGGTGGCTCAGTTGGTTAAGCGACTGCCTTCGGCTCAGGTCATGATCCTGGAGTCCCGGGATCGAGTCCCACATCGGGCTCCTTGCTCAGCGGGGAGTCTGCTTCTCCCTCTGACCCTCTTCCCTCTCGTGCTATCTCTCATTCTCTCTCTCTCAAATAAAAAAATAAATAAAAAAAAAAGAAAACAGAAGATGTAGGACCTTAAAAGAGAAATCCCAGCAGCGGGGCAGTCTTACAGCCACGACCACACTCCCTCCCTCAACAACCAAATAAGATGTGAGGCCCTACAAGGCCTGTCCAGCTAATCAATCCCTTTAAGATGGCTGCGGAAACACAAAACATCTGACTGATCCCAAGCAAAAGTTTCCAATTACATGTAAATCATCCAGCCAAGAAGAATGCTTTTCTTCTTCAATGTCCTAAAAGGAAAAATTTTCTCCTTTCCCTAACACCCTCTGCAACACAAGTCCCCCTAAGAAGTGTGGAGTATTCCTTTAGCCCAACAGCTCTGCAGCTCCAAGAGTCAGTACAACACCAGCATCAGGGCGTTTATTCATGAACGGTCTCGTTCACTGGGCCTCCAGTGAATGGGGTGAACCCAGCGGACAAGAGGGAGAGAGAGCTGGGAAGTGGCTCCTGCCCAGCTGGTGTGGGCGATGGTCCACGGTACTTACGTACTTACGGAACACTCTGGGATAAACCTCTGGCTCCCATTAGTGCACATGTAGAGGTGCGTGACTGCTAGTCATTGTTCTGTGGTCTGATGACTAATTAGTTAGGTGTATTACTGAACACTGACCTGACTCCCCCAGACTTAACAGAGTTTTCAGCAAGTCAAAGCAGTTCTTTCACTTATTACCTACTCAACAGGGTATTTACCTCAACAGGTGTCAAATACATATTTTCTACTTTTAGGGCAAGGCTGGGGGAAAAAGAGTATTGCAGTAATGAAAACTCGTGGGCATCTAAAAAACCCCGAAATCTACAAGGTAAGGTGGCTCCTACAGTTTGGAGACCTACAATTGGATTTCTGCTTCTATTACTGGCAATCAGCTTGGCTCTCCATCAGCAAGGCAGGGAGGATAGGGCCTGGCTCCCAAACTATAGGAACAGGGTAGGGCAGCACTTGGCCCCAGAGGACCCCGGCATTAGGGGAGCGCGGGGCCCGGCCCCACGGGAACCCGGCATTAGGGAAGCGCGGCGCCCGACCGCACAGGGGACGCCGGGATTAGGGGAGCACGGCGCCCGGCCGCACAGGGAGCCCCGGGATTAGGGGAGCGCGGCGCCCGGCCCCACGGGTACCCGGGAGAGAGCCCAAGACGGTGACCCCCACCCCGCGGGCCCATCCCCACACACCCGCGTGGTCCCGGGCTCCCGGCAGCAGCCCCGCACACCGTTCGGCCAGCGTCTCCAGGCGCGCTGGACCCGGAGGGGAACGTGGGCCCAGGAGGAGCAGCGCGGGCGGCGCGCCTCGGGCCTCCCGCCCAGACCCTGCCCAGCGCGGGGAGCGCGTCCGGCCCAAGCGCCTGCCTCTCGGACCGGGACGAGGAGGCCGCGGCTCTGTGAGGTCACCAGGAACCCGTGCCCGCCACGTGGCCGCGCCCGCCACGCACCTGGAGCCGGCCCGGCCGCCGTCGCTCTCCGGGGCCTGGAACATGTCGCCCGCCGCCAGGCGCCTCCTCGCCCGCCGCACGGAAGTTTCCGCCCGTCCCCACGCAGCGCTAGGCCCGCCCCCCCACGTCCATTGGACATCGTCGATGCCAGTCACGCCGCCGCAGCCTATCGCAGAGCCGTGCCGTGCGCCCGCCCCACCGGGGCAGAGGCTCGGCAAGGCTCGCTCCGCGCTCGCAGCCGATTGGTGAGAACTGATGCCGCTCAGGCCTCGGCCGCCGACACTGGGCAGCCGGGCTGCAGGGGGGACAGGCCCTGTCCCGAGCGGACTCCCTGCGCAGGCGCAAGCCGCGCACTCGGGAAGCGCCTCTAGGCGTCGCTGGCACAACCCGGGGGATCGCCGGTGGCCGCTGCTCGCCCGCGAGGTGCCCGGGTCTGTGGGCGGCGGCGCCGAGCCGCCACAGGCGAGCTCGCCGCGAAGGAAACAAGGCTCACTCGATAAGTATTAGATCAAGTATTAGTATGTATTTATGCACAATAAAAACAGATTTACAAGTTGAACTGGAAATTTAAACATAAGAAGTTTAACAGCTTTTGTTTATTATATTAAATAACCAAAACACCTTTTATTCCCAAAATTGGTAAAGAATAAATAATATAATTTACAATATGGTACAAAAAATAATCAGGAAGGACAGGCATTCTGCTTTATACATACACTGTATATGTATATTTATAATCTATAAAACAAATTCACATCTCAAACAAGCCGAAAACCTCAGATGATATGGCTTAACGATTATTAAAGGAAACCGCGGTGAGTTCTGCCGCTCAGACCGCAAGCTCTAAGCCGCTGTCCCGCTACAAAACACAGGGTCCAGGTTGCCGTGTAGTGCCTTGAACACCGAGCTTCACGTGAGTCACCAATCACAGGACAGGTTCGCTGTGGGTTTCTTCCTTTTTTTCTTAAGACAAAGTGCCCTATTTTCTCACAAATGCATCTGATAGATCTCAAGGTCTTTTAAAAACAACAAAAACACCAGCAACTGCTGCTTTCCTCCTCTACTTGCTTCCAGTGTCTTTTATTCCATGACTTTTCTTGGCTTAAGTTTGGATTCCATGCTGTGATCTAGTTAAAAGATGCTATTCCACTGAAAAGGACGCCCTTTTCAGGATCCCAATGCTAAGCAGCTGGAGATATGGGAAAGCAAGATCCGTGGATGGACTGTTTCCAAATACCCCACCCCCTGACAAGTACTCGGCACCTAGCAGATAGCTGAGGGCGACGTCCTCGCCGACCTTACTGGAGTCACAAGCTGCACCTTCTAAGCTCATCACTGGCCAAAGCAACTCCCTGGAGACCAGAGATAGTCTCTAGCTTTACAAACGCTGAATCAGCAAAAAGACCCCAGACATCTTTAGAGCGACTTTTCTGAGGAACGGGTCTGGTCTTAACCACAGCATGCTCAAATGCACGAAGAAAGTCACAGATGTACACCAAGACTACGACTTCCGTGGGATAGGCAGAGCAAGATACAGGAAGAGGGAGGTTTCTCTTTCATCTTTTGGAAAATTCTAGGCTTTAACAGCTGCTTATTTTTATACGTATATATTCATTTAGGCTGGGAGGAAAAAAGACTCACCCTTTGGATGCTACTAATGATGCCTCTTTCCCTTAACACGGCAAATGCTTAGACCTGTCAGGTTGCTGTGGAAGTGGCAGAATTCTCTGGAATCGTGTCAGCTTTGCTACAGGTGAGAAGAATCAGTCCACTGTCCTCCCTAACCCACCTCCCCCCTGGATGACACTCCAGATGGAGTCTGTGGTTAAGCCCCTAGTGGATGGTGCCACTAAAGAGCCTACAAAAGCTGATCCCAAATCTCTAGTTTTCCTCCTTTTAGGTATCACTGAAAACCGGTGCCAGCCTACCCGCTAGACTCGGGGTGTCCCCTGACGAAAGCAGCTCAGGACTCCTATAGTCTCCAGCAGCGCACACACTGCCATCAGGTACTGCTCCCAGCATCGATGCTGTAATGGTACCGGGGGTCTCTGGTCGCCCGCAGTGGGAGTACCAGCAAGTTAGTAGTGGCCTACACTTGGCCTGGTGTCCTCACCTACTACAGACCTAACAAAGTCAGATGCCCAGAGAGATCCACTGATATCACTTCCAGAAGGTGCTAAGTTCAGGGAGCTAATAGATGGATCGCTATACAAGCTAGTTTAAAGATACTCTGGTTCAAACGATGCTCTCTTAATAAAGGGGCACCATGTCCCTCTCTTACACATCTCCAGAGCTTTGGGACTTTTTGTAAGAGCCCAGAAGAGCTGCCCACAGTGGGTCTTATTAGTGATGTTTGTACCTAGAACCAGACCTGAAAGAAGGAAACCACGTTACAGGCAAGAGCTCTGAAACACTTGAGATGAAGGAAGGAACCTCCTCTGTCTGGAGGCCCCACTGCCCTCTCTTTCCTCCATGGTCAGGGTGAATGACGCGGCCTACAGCCTGGAGGGGCTGCAGCTGGCTGCTGAGACCTTGGGACCAGGAGCATCCCCTCTGCTTGCACACACAAAAGACCTTTTCTGTTCCTTTCCATGCTGCCTCACCTCTTCATCATGGACAGGGAGAGAAGCCCATGCAGAGGGCTGGGACTGGCCTGGGTGGCTGCCACTCCACTGCCAGTCGGGAAGAGGAAAGAGAAACTGTCCTCCGTTCAGGTGGATTTCAGAAGCCAAGCTGGTCTGGACTGCAGGTGGAGGGTGAAGCAGCAGGTGGGATGGTGATGCACGGGTTACTACCTGACCAACACCATAGCACTGGCTGCTGGCCCCAACGAATGGGGGGCTGGATGGGCTTTTGTCTGTTGAGCCTCCCAAGGCTGAGAACAAAGCAGCCCTGTCAGCTCCATTCTGGGCACCAACCCGTCGGCAGTGATGACCAACGGTCACCCAAGGAGGCCCCAGGAGCACATGAGAGGGAAGTGGTTTTAGTGTGCTCTGACTGCACTAAGAGTCTGCGCCATGCTCGAGTTCCCTGCGCTGGAAGAAGAGAAACAGAGGACCACAGAATGGGAGGAAACATGAAGGAGGAAATGTATGCAGCGGGTGGACTCTGCACGGAAGCCGGTGGAAGGAAGAGGAGACGCTGAAGAGGTGAAGACCTTCCCTGGAAAGGCTGCACACGTCGGCGGCTAGCCAGCAGCCCCCTGGCTGTTCAGGGACTCGCAGCCGAAGGCTTGGCTTCAACACAGGAAGGAAACCATGAACTCTCTTTTTCTTCACCGTCTCCTAATTCTCAAAACATAAGGAAAACCTTTTTCCAACCACTTAAGCAGGATTTTTTTCTAAAAGTCCACACAAGCTGCACAAAATAGGATTCTCTCCTCCTTCCCGTTAAGTCAATCAGAACAAACCTCCAAGTGGGAGAACGCACTAGGCAAGGGTCAGTGTTTCTGGGGTGATGGCACGAGGGACACTGCCCTGTGATCCGAGCGTCCTCGCAAGTGTCCGCTAAGGGTGCAGACCCCACCAGGCAGAGCCCAGGCCATGCCCAGCTGTGCTTCCCCGTCATGTGCAAAGAAAGCAACCAAAAGGTGTATAGGTTTGGCAGAAAAAAGTGGTGGCTGGAAGTGTCCCTGCAGAAAGCAGGGAGGCTGGGACTCCCTGGGCCGCGGCCGCTGCACACCCACTCCTTTCCCTCGGAAAGAAAACCCACTGCAACGTCCAACATGGTGATGGGGGGGTGGAAGCGCGGCTGCCAAGTGCTATCCCACGGCTGGCAGGGAGCGGCTCCAATGCCACAGCAGCGTCTGACACAGGCCCTCCGACAGAACCTGTCCTCACCTCCCGGGCCACTGCGGCCCTCTGCCCCCATCGGGACACGGCTTCCTGCATGTTGTCTGTTCTGGGCACAAAGAGTCCTCTGCTCAGACTGTCTTCTGGGGGGTCCTGGGCTGGATTTCTGTTTTCTCTAGCCTGGAGAGGGCTACATATACCGCAGTGGAGGACCACCAGCCCTCCTCTGCAGCCTCCAGGATGCCCCAGCAGAGGCAAGGTCTGGTCACTGGGACAGGTCACCGACGGGGGGGCCACCTCCACTGCCATCAAACAGAACCTCTCGGCGGCCGGGTTCGGCGATGGACAGTTCTTGGGCCAAATCGTTGAATCGAGATATGTAGTCGATGCTGTTTTCATTCATCATGCACACCAGCTGGGAATCCACAACCTGCGGGGCACAGGACATGAGGGAAGGCGTCAGCGGGCGGCTGGCCACCACGACAGGGACTTCAGTGGGAGGTGAGTGGACCAGTGAAGACTAGAACCCCAATCAATGAGCCATGTGACACCAGCCCAGCACTCTGGGGAGAACTGCAGAATCCCCTCTGTCCTTTTGAACACTCCCTCTTTTGACAAGTGTGCATGAGAGCCGACCGGCGGCCTGGTGCATGGGCTGCCGGGCCAGAGTGGTGGTGCCCAGCACAGACCTGTGGACCCTCAATAAGCAACGAGGCAAAGGGCACACAGTGGGGTGCAGAGACTGCACGGTGGCCTGAAGGACATGGGAGCTGAGGAAGCAGGTGGGGTTTGCCCAGGGGCCAGGGAGCACATACCCATAAAACAAACAGCAAGTGCAAAGACCCTGAGACGAGAATAGGCTTTGGCTCGTCAAGAAACAGAGCTGGCAGATGCGACAAGTCAGGCCAAGAAAGGAAAGCAAGGGTAAAGACCAGAGTGTGTACAACAGAGCGTCAGGTGTTAGGTTATTCTGTGGACAGATACACGAAAGTCCGTCTTCAGAGTGTACCATCTGCCTCTTGCTCAAGCGGAAGGCTCACAAGAATGGGGCCGTGGTTTTGTTTACTCGTGCCTAGAGCAGTGCCTGGCGCAGAGTATGCCCTGGGTAAGTATTTGTTACAGAATTGCAGGACATGACAAACGAATGAGAAACCTTCAGAAAATTCTGAATAGAGCTATGGCACAAACCGGATTCTAAGCTTTCGTGACAGGGGCACCTGGCTGGCTCAGTCGGACAAGTGTGCAACTTATGATCTGGTGGTCATGAGTTCGGGCCCTACGCTGGGGGTAGAGATTACTTCAGTAAACAAACTTTAAGCTTTCTATGGAAAATCTGAAACTGAAATTTGTTTTCAAAAAGCAGAGCAGGGCGCCTGGATGGCTTAGTTGGTTAAGCAACTGCTTTCGGCTCAGGTCATGATCCTGGAGTCCCGGGATCGAGTCCCGCATCAGGCTCCCTGCTCGGCGGGGAGTCTGCTTCTCCCTCCGACCCTCCCCTCTCTCATGCTCTATCTCATTCTCTCTCTCAAATAAATAAATAAAAATCTTAAAACAAAACAAAACAAAACAAAAAACAAAAAGCAGAGCAACTACTGCCTGTCTTCCCCATACAGGCCCATCATCAGCTTCCATCACGATCACTGTGGGCCAATCTGGCCCTTTCCCACCTTTCCCACCCACCCCTCATGCCCGCCCACTCTGTTCAAACCCCATCAGGTGGGCCTGGGGTGGGCCGGGGTGAATCTGGGGTGAGCCTGGGGTGGACCTGGTGTGGGCCTGGGGTGGACCTGGGGCAGGCCCACGAGTCTGCACTTGTAACAGCCCCAGGTACTGCTTCCATTGCCCTGGAGACTGCCCAGGAATGGCAGGGTCCTGAGGAGCTGTCTCCAGATATGTGTGGCAGGCCCGTCTGCATAGAAGCCGAGGGTTTGTAAGCATACACATACACACACACACACACCCACACGCACACGCACAAAGGGGAAAGATGGGCTTCTTGTGTGACATCAGAGCCACGAGTGGTTTGAGAAACGCTGTAGCGTGCAAGGAGGGTGTGTGCTGCTGCTTCTTGGTCTCTCTGTTTGGGTAGAATTTCTAGTCGTGTCACTGCTCAGCTCAGAATTCTCCGAACCTCCCCATGAGTTCCTCAGAACTCCAGATGCCAGTCAGGATAAGGGAAAGCTGAGGCGTCTGGGGGAAACAGTGGTGAGCTTTGTTTGATCCAGGGCCCCGTGGGGAATCTGACTACGAAATCTGAGAGAGACCCACTAACACCGGCACGTCCCAGGGAAGCAGTACTTGGGGGACGCTGCTCCAGGCCTCTGACAACAGAACTAGGCCCACCCGAGGGGGTGGGGTTCTCCATTATGGAGAATCCTCTCCCTCTTACGCACATGCTCCGCCTCAGTCTCTCTCAGAGTGCTGCGCTCTGTGCCCCTGTCCTCATGAGTCCTACTTGCTCCCGGACACACTCGCTCCTTGTGGGGTGGAGGCCCGGGCGGCTCCGAGTGGACAAACTGCGAGGGGCATCACAGACCGAGTCTCGTCTCCACGTCAACAGTCCGCCACCACCCCGAGCCACTTTTTAGCTTAGCAGGCGGCAGCCTCACGCCACCACACAGGGAGATGCAGCTGGAAGGCCTCCCTGCCTGTCAGGCGGCAGCATGGAGGACGTACCACCCACAACGGCCACGTCCTCCTCGAAAATCAGCAGCAGCCCCAGACGGACCAGGAAACCAAGGCACTAACTGCCCCAGGTCACGAAGCTGCTGAAGGGGAGAAGAGACCCAAGGCCTGTGCTGGCCACCAGCATAGGCCCCGCAGTCCACCCGACTCCAGGGCTTCCCAGGTTCCGAGGCCTCCAGTGCGGAGCTGTTACCTCACATCCCTCATCTGCTGCCACTTGGGAATGAATGCTGGCCAACGGTGGCGAGAGCTTCCACGGTCAGGAGAACTCGGAGTTCTAAGAACACAAGGGCCCCGCCCGAGGCATCCGCCCACCTCCAGGAGGCGGGCTGCTGGTCAAGTCAGAGCTAAGGCTGCGCACCTACCTCAGCAACATCAGCCAGGGACCGGGACACAAACGAGTCTCTCGAGTTGCCATCCAGCAAGCTGGGGCCCAGCAGGGAGGTGCTGCTGTGGGTCCCCGCAGGGGTTGGCAGCATCTTCCGGCTCTTCTCTGGGGAGATGAAGCTTGCTGCCAAGAGAAGGAGAAGACATCCTCAGACCGGCTTGCCAGCACCGGTCCAAGGGGAGGACCCCGCAGGCTGAGTGTGGATGGCCCTGCCAGGCCCTTCCCAGGCATCTACCCGAAAGCTCGTGCAGCCACAGGGCTTTGGATGGAGTCGTTGTGTGGTCCCTGGCTCCTCTCACGTGGAGAGCCCTGGGGAGTTTTCCGTGCAGCACGTGTGAGTCAGCCTCGTTCTCCTGGGAGTGCTGCCTCATCCCACTGCCGGGTCACCACCCTCGCCTCCGTATGAGGTGGTTCCGATTTCTCATAATTTCCATTTGACTTTGCAGACATTGCACTGGTCTACGTGACTTCCATCTCAGCAAACGCTCATCGGTGCTGCCTCCCCTGCACCACCCAGACCTCCCGCATCAATCTGGGCCTCCAGGCGTGGTGCCCACACGGGTGCCGACCTGGCTCATGTGTAAAACCACCCCTTTTTAGGGCTGCTAGTCCCCCCCCACCACCACACACACGCCCTGGCTACTCTCTAAAGAATGCTGGGTGCAGGCGCCTGGGTGGCTCAGATGGTTAAGCGTCTGCTTTCGGCTCAGGTCATGATCCCAGAGCCCTGGGATCGAGTCCCGCATAGGGCTCCCTGCTCCTTGGGAGCCTGCTTCTCTCTCTGCCTCTCTCTCTCTGTCTCTCATGAATAAATAAAATCTTAAAAAAAAACCAACAAAAAACGCTGGGTGCGCTGATCCCACACATGCCACAGGAGCTCGCCCCGCGCAGGCCACTGAGACCGGTGTGGCTGTCCCTGGCAGCCCCTCCCACCACACGAACACCTGGTGCCCGGGGAGGCGCACTCGTCCCTGCCATGAGACAGTGGGAACATCTGCTTCAGGACACCAGACTGAAGATGGAAAGAGGGAGCTGAGAGCTCCAAGAACCATATTCTACCACACCGCCAATGGCAAGAGCAGAAAGCCCGAGCAGGCAGGAGCCGGAGAGCGGGCAGCCCGAAGGGCACGGGAAACTGAGTGCAGACATGGGCCCATCTCAGCCGGGCTGAGTGTCTCGTGGGTGTCCATGTTCACGCAAGCTCAATGAAGTGCACACCAGAGGCCTCGGTGCCCCCCTCCCCTACCATGTGAGTGACTTGGGATAAACCCTGAACCCAGCAGCTCTGCTGGGACTTCAGACTCCAGTCCCCACCCAGGTGCGCCACAGGGAGCCCGCCCGTGCCCTGCTGCGCCCTCCACTCACCAAACAAGCTGCTGAGTGACGAGTCTGTGGGGTCACTGGGGCACCACTGGGGGTCATGGGTCGGGGAGGCGATCCAGTCGGGCTGGGGGCTGCTGGACGGGGAGGGAAGACTCTTGGAGCTGTCACTGCCATTCAGTTTTGCTGGAGAAAGAGGGACTCCCTCACCTGTCAGCCAAAACACAGGATCAGAGATGGCGTGGTGGGTGAATGGCACCTCACTTCCCCCACCCACCACCCAGAAATCAGCAGAGTGGCACAAGCACTGGACGTGTGCGGTGGGGCCCATGGAGGACCAACAGGACTGGCCTGCAGAGGGGGCCTGTGGAGGCAGGAGCCATGTGCCCACCTCAGGGAACGGCAGTGGCCACAACTATGCTGATGGGGCAGACCCTGTGCACCCCCAATGCTCTTGCTGGCGCCGACACCAACCACACGAGCACACACCAGTGCGCAGGTCTCCATGTCACCAACAGAAGTAAGGTGCAAGGGGGAGAGCTAAGTTCTCTGTGAATCCACAGCCCAAAGCAGACCAGCAAGTGCCGTCCCATGGAGTCCGTCCACCCCCCTGCCAGGACCCGCACAACCTCAAGCCATCCACCCAGATTCAGAACCAACCAGAAAAAGGCCCCATCTGAGCCGTGGGCTGCAGAAGCCTGGCGGGCCTGCTCTCTGTCCTCGAGGCCGTGAAGAGCCACAGTACCCATCTGCTCCTCATCTGCTGGGGCTGCCCCCTGCCAGGATGGGCAACACCCCACAGGCGGCAGATGCTCCACACTCAAGAGGGAACGCTGGACAGGGGTGTGCCCAGCAAGTGTGCAGACACCCCGGCGGGAAGTCAGAACCCCACGGGCCCTCACCGTACTGGCCAGAGCTGATGGCAATCTCGATGATGGAGTCGCTGATGTGTGTGGCGGGCTCGCCCTGTGAGAGCACGTCCTCGGGCGGCCCGGGCAGGGAGATGTCCAGCAGCGCGGAGACGTTGGGTGGGGACAGGCGGCTGCTGGAGCCCTCCGGCGCAGGCAGGGGTGCGGAGGGCCCATTGTGGAGAGGAGCCTTGGACAGCTCGGATAAGGACAGCACGGGTGAGCCCTGGATGGGGGGGCGGGGAGCACAACAGATGATCAGGAACACAGAATGGAAAATTGGGTCTCAGGCCCACATGGCAGTGACTGAGTGACAAGAGATTTGACAGAGAAATGAGAACACCACACCACCTCTCCCTGCTCTGCAAGATACACACTCAGTGGATTCACTTCTCCTGAAACCACACTAGCCATGGCAGCCTTGGAGGGCCAGGATGAGGGGGGCAGTGGCCGGAGTGGGGGGGGTGGCTGGCCCTGCCTCCACCGCCGGCGGGACAGCTGGTAATCGAGGCAGAGGAGTGCCTGGGAGCACTACGGCTGACGACTTCCATTCCTCTGGCCCCAAACAGTCCTTCCAGGAGTGCGTCTGAAACAGGCCACCTTGCGAAGGGGCAGGAAGCCTCAGATGGGAGCTATGTGTTCGTCTGTATAAGCGAGGTGGGTGGAAGAATGGTGCTGCGGGGCCTCGAGGGATGTGTGTTCTTACCACCACCTGGCAGTCCAGGGGAGCGAGGCTAGGGCCACGGGAAGACCATGAGGGTGGGGGGCCTGGCATGGAGGGGGTCCCAGGGCAGCTGCACTGCTCCACAGCAAAGAGCACCCTCTACCTGGAAACCGTCCGTCACCGGCTCCTGCTCAGGCCTCGAGGGAACACTGATGAACGGGTCGCTCGTGCCCTAAAACAACACGAGGAAAGCCAGTGGGCCCCACGCCCACAGGCTCCTAGCAGCCAGAGAGCCAGGAGGCTACTGCTGTCAAGGTTAGGTCACCAAGTCCCCACAAGTGAGGCTGTCCATTCAAAGAGCAACCCCAGTCCCAGTAGAGCCTGAGCATGGGGGGCAGGGGGGGTCAGAGGCGTGTGGGTCAGGGAGGCACAGGGTGTACTGCCAGCCAGTGCGGCCAAAGCTACTTCGCGAACTGAGTGACGTCTGCAGAGAGACAGAGCTCCGTGCCTGTCTCGGCATCACAGCAAGCCTGTCCCACTGCGACCATCCATGGCTCTCCCCTTGGGGCTACACGGCGCTCACCCATGCCACAGCCTCCCTGGTCCAGGCACTCTCCTAGAGCCTCTCAGGGCCCATCACCTCCTCAGGCAGAACTGGAGTCCAGCATGACCTCAGTCCCATGGCCTCGGCACCCACCCTTCTGGAAAGTGACTGACCTGTCCCAGAAGGAGGTGGGTGTGCGGAAAAGCCATTCTAAACATACTTACCCCGACAGTGGGGATGGAATCTCCATTCTGGTGGGTGCTGGTGGAGTCCTGACCTGGGACAGTGGGGGCCACCTCATCTGAAGACAGCGGAGTGATGCCAGACAAGCCCTCAGCGTCCAAGACAGGGAGGGGGCTCCCGGGGATGATGCCGGCACTTTTAGCTGCTAAGTCGATAGCACCTGGCAACAGGAAGGACATTTCGAACCTCAGTTCCAGGGACACCCTGACAGGTGCCCCAAGGGGCTCATGAACAGCCTCTCCCTCACACCTCATTTCCAAGCAAGGACAAAGGCTCTCGTGTTCTCCCTGAACAGTAACAGGACACACCGGCTTGGAGGCGAACAGAAAGCTTGCTCGGAACCCTCCCGTGGTGTCTGTCGTGCTGGTGACAGAAACTTACTGGCCAGGTGGCCCGTGGCCGGGGGTGGAAGGACCTTGGGCACAATCGGCCGAGACAGGGCTGCTTTGGTCAGGGAAGACTGGATGGGCCTGAACGAGCCTCTCCCTGCGGGGAAAGAGCAGAAGCAGATGCATCAGCCCGCACCCTCCGAACGCACAAGGGCCATGGAGCGTTTCCTTTCAAGCCACAGTCACGGAAGCTGAACCTCGTCGGAAACCGACTTGGAGAAGTCCCAGGTCAGACAGGCCCCAACGAGGAGAAAGTCCCAGGCCCCGGGGAACAGCACCAACGCGCTTGCTGGAGCTGCCAGAAGGCCGCAGTCTGCACGCCACACCATGGGGGGCCTTTGTGGGGGGGTGGTGCGCCTGACCTGAGTGGCAGGCAAAGCCGCAAATCCTGCACCAGGACTCTGCCGCTGCAGCTCGGCCCCCCCACCAGATTTTCTGCAGCTGAGAGCGAGCATGAGGAGAAGCTGTCGACGCTCACAGTGCCTACGCAGTGCGCGTGTCACTCAGCCATGCCCACTCTGTGAGACAGCGTACTTCCCAGAGCCGGGGCCCCTCCCACACCACAGACCTGCCCACACACCACCACCCACCGGGTGTCCGCGCCTGCCGCTCTGTGGCCCGGGCCCAGCACATTCAGGCTTTGTGGACGGAAGGGACAAAGGGATGCTCGGGATGTCTTGCAAAGACCCGAGGACACCAACACCTGCCGTTCCCGAAGACAGGGGCACGCACAAGAAAGGCGTGAACAATTACCCAAGGAGCCCGGATGCTTACCAGTCACGGAGGAATTGGACAGGATGGAAAAGGAACAGACATTGTGGGACTGGTGCTCAGACGGTCGAGGAAGCAGTGTTCTCTGTGGAGAGAAGAATGTCGATAATCAGACGACGGACAGACCCCGGCGCCAGCAATCACTCAGGAAACCAGTGATGGGCCATAAGGGACATTCCAGGTGAGAGGGAGCTGAGCGTGTCCAGATGGGGGCTCTGGCTCGAGGACACTGAGGACAGCTGTGCCCGTGGACCCCGAGCCCCTGAACACTGGGCCTCTCTGAAAAGAACCCAGAGTAGCCAACCTTCCGCAGAGAACACTGGAGGGATGCCAGGATGGCCCAACGCTAACTCAGAACGCCCTCCCAGTGCTGTACGCCCGCCATGAGCATTGGGCGTGGACTCTTCCAAGACACACCCCCAGATCTGGGTCCCTTTGAGCTCGTGGCAAAAGAAATAAAGCGGCTCCTGGCAACACGGACGACCTAAGGGTGTGAGGCACTCCGACCCATCGCTGATGCAGTGCCTGCCCTCCCTGCTCATGGGCCCCGGTCCCCTGGTTCTGAGTCATGCAGGGCCAGTATGGCGGCCGCCACCTCACAGGGAATTACGGAAACTGCTGGCTCGGTCATAGAAATAAAATATTAACACAAAGTATCTGCCGCATCATCAGACACTCCCGGCTCTGGGTGCAAGGTGCATTCTCTGCTAACGTGCGAAGGACGTCTCCTTGCCCCTTGGGGTCAGCACAGAGCAGAGAGGAGGGGGTGCTACTGGGTCGCCAACGACACGGAGGGCCAGCAGGTCTGTTCAGGTGCCAGGAGGCAGCGGGGTGACCTGGCAAGGAGCTGTGGATGCACACCGTCTGGAAGGGCAGCAGGAAGTACAAGGCTTGGTCGTGGCCTGCCACCCCGTCCTGCTGCTGGGAAAGCAGCAGGGAAATGAAGGGCTGTGTGCCACCGACACTTTCTATCAAAACAGTAAACGCAGAAGACCACATACTATGATGTGTGGTTCCATTCGTGTGAAATGCTCCGAAGAGGCCAGTCCCCAGGGACAGAGAGCCTGAGTGCAGAGAGTGCTTGCCCCGGGTGGGGGGGCGCACCTGAGGAGATGGCTACGGGCTTTCCTTGTGGAGAGACGGAAATGTCCTGGATCAGACAGCGGGGATGGCTGCCCTACCTGCGAGCCCTTCAGACCTTTGGACTACGTGACTCACGCATTGATAATCAAGCTGTTACAAAGCTAAACAAACACCACCACAGGCCATGCAGGCTCGCAACCCTGGACCAAGAGCCGAAGAGCCACAGAACCACCGTCCAGCTGGGGTGGATTCACGTACTTCACCAACTGTGCCAGTACGGACTCGGCCCGCGCACGCGCACACAAAACTTGGGACCTAGAATACAGCAGTCCCCAAATCTGCAGGGCACGTGTCCCAAGGCTCCCGTGGGCGCCTCAAACTGCAAATAACATAAGCCCTACACCTACTACTGTTTTCCTACAGAGACGTAACTGTGACAAAGTTTAACTTGTAAGTTAGGCAGGTAACAATCGAACAACAATTGATAATAAAACAGAACAATTCTATACACTGAAACAAGAGTTCCGTCAGCGAGGTCTCCCTCGTCTCTGCCCCCGTGAGCGAGTGATGCAGGCACGTGACGTACCGCTGACCCTCTGATGACGTGTCAGGAGAATCACCCGCATCCTGCTGACCTTGGCTACAGACCACGGGAAGCAGAACCGAGGATAACGGGAGGACTGCTGTGCACCGTCCTGCCTGAGACCTGCCACGCAAGCTCTCCTTTCTACGTCAATTAAACTCGAGAGGAAGAGATTTCTGAGAGACTAGCAAGACGAACAGAGACCTGTACGTTTATCACCAAACAACCCACATCCATACGTTTCTAAGCTTGGAGCCGTTACAGAATTCCCGCCTCACCCACACTCTCGGGCTGTGCCCTTGGCTCTGCAGATGGCTTCCACGGGGCGTCTGGCCTTTAGTGCCGTTGAGCTCAGGAGAGTCTGGCCTCAGGCCACTCCATCTACCCTGTCAACTGCCTCTTCGGGCTGCGCATTTATAAATAGCAGCTCCGAGAGTCCTCGAATATATCCTAAAGCGGGACACATGGGACTTGAATCCCTGGGACTGCCTGTCTTTTTTACAAGTGGTTTACATGCTGTGCCAAGATTCTCGTTATTTCAGGGAACAGTCAGGGCCCCGTTACTACTCTGTGTGTCCTCTGCATAAGAAAGAAGGAGGGGCCGAGGACTCCCTGTGGCACAGACGCACGCCGGTGCCCTGACCTGGACCACCAGGGGCTTCCGCAGGTGCCGGTTCCGCAACTTCCTGGGCTTTGGCAGGAAGAAATCCGACTGCATCTGCAAGGAGACAGCGCGGGCGTGAGAGCGTGCCCCCAGACGCAGGGCCCCCCGCCGGCAGCGTGCCCCCCACCCCACTTACGCTGATGGAGTTCAGGTGCTGACGGAAAGTCAGTTCTGTTTCTTTACTGGGAGAATAGAGCTTCCCGTGGCGGCTGTTGGGCGGCAGAGTGGTCGGGACAGCAAAAAGGCCGCCGTCTGAGTCACTGCTGCCCGTGCTGGAGGGGCCCGCCACCAGCAGGGGTCTCGGCGGGTTTCTCAGACCTAGAAGCCAAGAGACCGCGAACACAAGCACTCACTGGGCAGCATCACCAGCGCGAATGCAGCTCGCTCTATCCGGAAGAAAACCGGAAGAAACAGGGACAGTTGATTCCGTTTGCTTGAAAGGCATTTCCTAGACTTCAGTCCCCCAACCCTGCCTTCCTAACTTTCTCCCTGAAACCCCAGTTCCCACCGTTAGTGAATCATGGCTCTGAGAGCACAGCAGCACTCTGCCACTTTGATCCCCGGTAGGAAGGGCAGATAGGCCTGTGAGGACATGTGACAGCTAGAAGAACCTTCTAGACCACCTAGCATTGACCAGAGGTCAGCAAGCTTTCTCTGTAAAGGGCCAGAGAGTAGCTGCCTGGCTGGTGGGCCTTCCAACCCCTGCTGCCCTGGGCTCTGCAGCTGGAGCGTGGCTGTCCTGACAGCGAGCAGGCTGTGGGCTGCGGTCGGCTGGTCCCCGTTCTAAATCTTTATTGTACCAAGGACAGCCCGGACATAAAGGGACAGAAAATGTTTATTTCGGAGCCACCGTTCTGAGACTCTGCCTTCATTACTGTGGGTGCCGCTGCGTACACCCTCAATCCATGTAGGGACAGGCCCCCTTTCCTTAGTTTTTATTTGCAAAGCTGTGAAATCAAGCTCAGGCCCTCTGAGCACCAGTCCGGACTCTCTCACTGCAAGTGTCTTGGTCTAGAAACATCCTCCATTCAGAAACAGAAAAGATGGTAAAGACCGCATAAAATTACAACAACTTGAAGTCAGAGTGGAGGGCAGGAAGGAGTACCATCGCTACCTGAGTCCTGACCTGCACAGACACCTGACCCAGGCTCAGTTACCCCGGAGGCCCCCGCACAGCACTCATTCCACGGGAAGGCTATTCGCCACACAGAGAACACATAAAGCTGGTGACACACTCGGAACAGAAAATAAGCCGGGGCAGCTGGGTGGCACAGTTGGTTGAGTGTCTGACTCTCGATTTTGGCTCAGGTCATGATCTTGGGGTCGTGGGATTGAGGCCCACGTTGGGCCCCGTGTTGGAACTTGCTTGAGATTCTCTCTCCCTCTCCCTATGCCCCTCCTGCTCATGCTCTCTCTCAAATAAATATATCTTAAAAAAAAAAAACACAAAACAAAACCCTAGAAACTGTTAACACACAGGCACTAGATCTGTTCAGCGAAGACGTGACCACACCTGCGTGGGTCAGATTAAGGACAGATGCGGGACCGCTTCTTGTATGAGGCACGTGGCCCTGACGCAGAGACGCCTGCTGGCACAGGACGTTCAAGGCGACCAGGATGGCCAGGGTCCCAAAGTGAGAGCACACACCCACAGGGATGGTAACGCAGCCCTTCACGCCTGGCGTGGAGGTCTCCCAGGCTCGGCACACGAAGGACATGCCAGTCCTCAACCCGTCGCCTCAGGTACCAGAAAACCCAAGGAATGACCCTGCAAGGAAGTTACTCCCTAGCTACAACTTGGACAAAGGACCAACCGTTCAGACTGGCAGGTCAGCCCACTTTTCCTTCCAAGACTGCGGGAAACGGCTGGGGAATCCCTTACCTCCGGGTCTGACTCTTCAAACATAAAAGGAGACAGTCCCTTCTCAGGCTTTCAGCCACAGATTCAGCATGTTACGGAGGCTTCCACTGACCTCACAAAGATCCCCCAAGGTGACCAAACTAGCAAGGGCCACCCCGTGTTTCCGAATGGCTCCAGTACCCCGAAGCCTTATGCGACAGGCCCAGCGCTCACCCTCCCCGCAAGAGGTGGGGATTTCTCTTCCGACACGCCATCAGCGCGATGGCGACCCACTGAATGGGGCCAGGGGTCGGGCATCCTGTGCCCTCAGCTCAGGCACAGCCCCCACGTGCAGAAAGACAGGCGGGATGGCCGAGCCTCACCTGAGGAGCAAGGCGTGGAGCTGGGAGAGAAGGTCTTGCTGTTGCGGAGGGCAGTCTGGCTGCGCGGGCAGCGGGGGCTCCGGGAGCTGACGGTCACCACCTTCCCTGGGGGCGTAGCCGACTGCTCCTCCTGGGTGGGCCTCACTGAAGCCGTGGAGCTGGTGTTCCCTTCTGGAGCCTGGGACAGAAATGGGCCACAGCAAAAGCCGGACTCAGCCTGCGAATGATGGTTCAGGGAGGGGGGCCCAGAGCTGGAGGCGTGAGGAGCTCCAACGGGCTCCGAGATCACATATCCCCCGAGGCAAAGGTCAGCATTCCTGATGTCACTTGGCAGCATGCCACTTTTAACCGCCACAGGCAGGTAGGTCCTCTGGGGAACAACCGTTCTCCCTCCTGGCTTCGTGGCCTGCAGGTGGTACGGACAGGCAATCCCATCACGTGGTGAAAGCAGGCAGGGATGTGGGAAGGCCAAAGGAGTTGCTGCATGGTGGGGACACGAACTCGTCTTTGTAAAAAGCCTGCCTAAGAGAACCGCAGTGGCCTCTCCCGATTGTGACTCAGAGGAAGGAAATACAGATTTAATTTCTAGAATTAAAACAGTCACAGCCGAGGAGCCCTCTGCTGAGTCAGGATGCCAATCTCAGGGGTTCTGCGGCCCAGGCTCAGGCTGCACTCAGTGCCAGGGTCCCCGCCACAGAGACACCCCTTCCACCCCACCTCTGTCCTCACCCTGGTGATCTCAATCTCCCCAGCACCCACTCTCCGGGGCCACCGGGGCCAACCTTCCTGTGAAATTAGGGAACCCCCTTCCTCTGCTTTTGGCACAACCCTGCCTGCTCTGCTTGCTCAGTGCCCAATCCTGACCCACCTTTTCCTTTCTGTGGGACCCCTACCCACCCCTCACTCTGCTCTGTCCCCTCCTGCTTAGCTTATTCAGTCTCACCATCCAACCACGCCCCTGCATGCCCAGCCACCTCTTGCCAAGGTCCCGCTTGGCCAGAGGACTGGGTGTGGGCCGCACTGGCTTGGCAGCACTCTGCCACTGTGGGGGGCCTGCAGGACCAGCCAGCCCGTCTTTCACACAGGGGCTCCGAGCTCAGCTCCGGCCTCTACCCAGTGGTTCTCACAGCTGAGCTACATCACAATCAGCTGAGGAGGGGGGCAGAGAATGTGGATCTCTCACGAGTCCCCCGGCGATGCAGAGGCCGCTGCTGGGGCCCCACTCTGGGCCGTGGCTCTGAGCGCCCTGCTCTGAGTCCTCTGCAGTATTCCCAAGCCACCCCACAGTCCTCTCCCAGCCAAGGCCAAGGCCAGGGCCTACATACCCTGCTGTCACAGGCTCCTCGGGAGCTGGCCTCCCTTGGCCCCCTCTCCGGAATGCTAGACACGCTCCTGTCCCTCCAGTCTCCTCACCTCCAGGAGCCTCACTCTAGAACGTTTTCTAAACTCATCATCTGTCCATTCACCCAGTACTAGCCATGCCTGCCCGCAGGGCACCAGCCTCCAGAGCACTACCTTTTCTAAAGGCCACTGCTCCCGCTCAGGTCTCCCCCTAGGCCCCTGCGGTCTCCACCCAGGTCCAACCACCCCGTGGGAGCCACCTCTCTCAGGACACTGACTCAAGCTTGTCCTCACACGCGCGCTCTACTGGGTACCCTCTCTGTGGCAAAAGCTGAGCAGGGATGAGGCCAGGGAGAGGGTGGAGGAGCCGGGCAGAGCGCACATGGAGGGCTGTCTGTCCAGGAGAAGCAGAAGCTGTGCTATGCAGACATGACTCAGCACTCGTGGGTCCACAGCGTCCCCATAGCCCATTCTGTCCCCAGGCTCCACTCCCTCCTGGCCCCCATGTTCCATTCCCTGGGCTGCTGCTCCTGAACTGGTGAATCCCCGCATTCCCAAACACTCAGCACACACTGTACCTCCGGAGCCCCTGCAGACTCAGTTCTTTTGCACCCCAGAAAGCCCACTGGGTTTTCTCTCGCCAGTGGCATCCTCCACCCCGTGTCTGCAGACCAGATGCCCCAGGACAGGGTCACAGCCACTCCCCAGGCTTAGGGACCAGCCACCACGGAGCCCCCTGAGGAGTCCCAGAGCCCTTCACCCAGCCCCTGAGCGCTGTCCCGGCACCCCGTCCATCCCCTCCCAACTCCAATCCCTCCTCGGAAGCTGTGCCACCGTGCTCCCAGGACGGCCACTCTCAAGCACCAACGACCCTGCCATTTCCTCCACTGCAATCTGCGAGGTTCCTGCCTGGCTCCTGGCCATGGCGACCGTGTCGCCTCTGCACACATGGTCCCGCTGGCCAGCAGGGACAGCTCAGCATCATCATGAAGCCTGACAAGGGATGGCTTCTTGGTCACTGTGGTCTTTGGAGCCTTGTGTGAGCCGCGGAGGACAGGGCCTGTGTCTGCAGCGAGCTGCAGCCCTCTCCACAAAGCCTGGCTCGAGGGAAGGACACGTGTCCTGCCCAGTCACCCAGGTCCCCGCCTCTCTCCCCCCAGGACCCAGCTGTCCACCTTGGAATGCCAGGAGGGCTGTGCCTTGACCCACACTCACCAGCCTGGGGTTGACCTCGGTGGAGATGAGCTTCAAGAGGCAGCTGAGGAGGCGCTGCTTGTGGAAGGTGGAGGGTGGGGAGCTGGTGCGGGGGCCCTGGGCCTGCCCACCGGGGGCCTGGCCCTCAGGGCCCAGCACAGCAAGCCAGTCATACTCCAGCTGCAGCTTGTTCGGTTTGCCCATCATGAGGTAGACTTCGGCCAGCGTAAGGCTTTCAGAGGTCTGCAGGTTCCAGCCCTCCTCACGGAGCTGCTGGGCTAGCCGGCTGGCAGGGACATCCTTCGGAGGCTTGGCAGCAGACTGTCCCTGAGGTGAGGGATCCGAGAGATTCACCTTCTCCTGGGGCTCCTCTGCAGGGGCGTCTGCTGAGTCTTTAGTGCAAACATCCGGCTGGAGCCTGGGGCCGGGCTGAGGCTCTGGACCCGGTAGGGCACGGACAGGGGATAGTGCCCCAGCCCGGGCGAGGTCAGCCACCTCTGCACTGCTGGGGATGCGGGTCTCTGGGGAGGTGCACCCTGAGGGCCGCGAGTCTGCACAGCGGCACTGCTCGGGGATGATGAGGTCCTGACAGGACTTCATGTAGCGCGGGAAGGGGTCAAGCAGGGAGAGCTCATCTTCCAGCTCTGGCACCTGGCCACAGGCGCACGTCACATCCCCAGGCTCTCGGGCTGGGCCATCCCTGCCCTCTGCAAGAGCAGCCCGGGGGGTCTTCTCAAGCCGTCCCCCGGCATCTTGGAGCCCCGGGGGCAGTCTGTCAGGAGTGTCTAGGCTGCTGAGGCTCAGGGCGGCCCCCTCCCCAGGGGCACTTTCAGGGGAACTCTCTCCAGAGCTCTGTGAGGCGTCAGTGGAAGGAGGGGGACGTCCTGGGCCCTTGCCCTCGGCACCACCCCGTGGACACTTCACCTGGCCCCTGGCCGTGCCCTGCCCACTCTGGATGCCCAGGATCTGCGCCGGAGGCAGCGTGTGGGCATCCTTGGAGCTCTGCTTGCACCGGCCACCCTCCTGCCAGTGCACGGTGCAGAAGGCCTTGGAGTGCACGACTCGGGCCACTCCCGGCAGCGGCGTGAGCGTGCAGCTTTCTCCTGGGAACAGGTGCAGCGCCACCTTCTCCTGCGACGGCTCCGTTCGCGAGTGCTGCAGCTGCCGGTCCTCGAGCGTCTTCCGCTGAGAGAGCAGTCAAGGAGCAGCCGCAAGAGCAGGCCCCGCTGTGTGCCGCCGGGCCGCGGGAAGGGCGCGAGCCGGGCACTTTTCTCCTTCACCGACGGCACACCCAGCGGGCACCCTCCCAGTGGGGACGGAGGCTGGCAGGCGGCCAAGGACACAAGAAGCCTGGGGCTCTGTCCTTGCTTGTTTTACTCAACCTGCTGGCAGGGATGCTCTGTGCGCCCCCCAGCCCTGCCACGGAGGCCAGCCGTGGGCTGCTTGCGCTGTAGCAGTTCAGTGCCCATTCTGCGCCGCCCACGGGGCCCTGTGCACTCAGAAAAGGATACGACCCGCACTTCGTGGAGTGCCCACTTCTGTTTCAGGAACTCAATGAGGCTGGAGACCTTCCGGTGGAGCTCCACAATCATCCTGCAGAGAGACCACAGGCAGGACAGGGCGGCCGTTACAGGGGAGGGACCCTCCTGAGGAGTACGAGGCTGTGGCCACAAGACCAGACAAGGTCACAGACTGTGGAAGGGGCGTCAAAGGAGGGGATGGAGGCACGGTGCCCTGCAGGGCCACTGAGTCCTTTTCTTAAAAACTAGCCCTTTAAGCGGACAGCACTAGAGATTCATGTGAATCTCACATCCCCTTTACAGGTCGTACGAGATCTCTCCCAGGACGTGGACCGTGCTACAACCCACCACCCTGCTCTGTCAGCACCCTTTGGATCTAGGAAGCTGGACCTGGCCAGCCTGAATGAACGGCGAGAGAGTTTAAGTCCATGTTTAAGCAAGAAGTCCTGACACAGATGAAGTGCCAGACTTGGCACGAGCGGCCAGGCAGCAAGCTATACCGTCCCCTTACGAGAACCGTGAACAACGGGCACGCCTGACCGGCCGCGGAGGCTGGGGAGCGGGGGGCGGGGTGGGTACGAGGTTTTGGGGTAATGAAATGTCCTGGAGCCAGAGAGAGGGGAAAACCCTACAACACCGTGTGAAGGTACTCAGTGCCCTGAGTCAGAAACCCTAAAACGAGTAACAGTTAATTGTAGGTTACGAGAATTCCACCTCAATCAAAAAAGAAGTCTAACGTCTAAATGAAAAACGGTCCACACTCACAGTGATGCCCTGTGTCTACGTCAGACACAGATCTTCGGAGAGATGCTAAGACAGCCATGGAAGGGGTTTTGAGGGGAAAGATTCTGTCGCCATCAACCTGCTAACCACATGTCTTTGTCTCCCGTGCTTGGCCCGAGAGCCCCTGCCAGGCGTGGAACTGCAGCTTTCAACGCTTCCAGGACCCCCAGGTGTGAGGCCCCTCCCCCATGTGCTGTCAGTGCCCTAGGGGAACCCCACCTCTCCCATGAGATGCCAAAGGCCACGTTACCTGAGCCTTGGGTTCTGGGCCAGGCTCTGCACGCGGGCCCAGGCATGGTTGTTCCTTGGCTGCAGCTCAACCGGGACCTTCAGGGGCAGGCGCACTGGCTTCTGGTCCTCTTCGTCACTCAAGCCTGTGACAAGAAGGGGCGTGAGAGCCTGGCACACGTGAACCTCAATGCAGAATGCCACAGGCTTGGCCACACAACTAACAGAATCCACGAGGAGCTCTGGGCAAACAGCCGTGTCTGAAAGCAAGGCTGGCAGAGAAGGCCGCAGGGACCCGTGCTCTGAAAGAACGCCAACATGGCCGTGTGCGCATTTGCAAGCCAGAGCCATGGACCAGGCCACAAGAGGCCACTAGAGACCTGCCCGTGACACTGGCGGGCACTTTGTCTGAAAAGGCTGTGGCTTCTGAGCTAAACTTGATCTCCTAAGGGGACACACTGCTGTGACAAAGGGTTTCAAGTCCAAGTGCTGCTAACGGGCAGGAGCAGATGAAGCAGACTCGGAGCCACTGGGAGACACTTCCAGCTCGCCTTCTCCATCGTCACAGGGAGCAGCCCCACCTCCGAGATCACATACCGTCCGGGTCACAGAGCTTCTTCAGCGCACGGCACATGGGCGCTTTGATCCGCAGGTTTCTCCCTTTGTAGCGCACGGTGGTAGCCCTGGGAAGAGTTTAAGGGAAAACAGTGAGGCCTCTCAGTGAACGGCCGCTCCCCACCGAGCACATACAGAAGGGCCCGTGAGAGCTTGGACAGATGAGGGCCCTGGCTGAGGGTCCTCACGAAGCTCCCGGGGTCCCAGGCAGCTGCACACGGTGAGACCACACTGGGATTCTGGAGGTCCCACTGTTTTCCTGCCCAAGCCTCACGCTGCAAAGAGGACGCCGGCCCTTCACAGGAAGCATGCCCGACCTCCGGCCTGGCAGGTGTGGTGGTGTGGCACCAGCTGCTGTCCATCCCCGGAAAGCCCACTGTGCAGGAGCCCGTCAGACGTCAAATGCACACCCTTCTCTCCTCTTCCTGCTCGTCCTCGGGGTCCCTCAAGAGCAGAAGGTGTGAGCCCCCCTTGAGGCGGCCACCACTCCCCATCAGCAACTCTCTGTGGTCCCTCTTGTCAGCCACACCAGCGGGGCCCAAGGAACAGTCGCCACTCACAGCCCCTAGACACAGTGCCGCTTGCTCGCGCTCTCCGAAACGCACCTCAGGCAGGCCCCGGATCTGTCGCAGCTGGGGATAACACTCTGTGTGAACAGCGCCATGGCCAGAACTTATATAATGTTAGAATAACACAAAATGAAGAATTTCCCTGTAACTGATGAACAGAACAGCACGAAAAGAGCTCCTTTCAAAAAACACACTTGGTGGGGCGCCTGAGTGGCTCAGTGGGTGAAGCGTCTGCCTTCGGCTCAGGTTGTGATCTCAGGGTCCTGGGATTGAGTCCCGCATCCGACTCTCTGCTCAGCTGGGAACCTGCTTCTGCCTCTCTCTCTGCCCCTGCTTGTGTTCCCCCCTCTCTCATTCTCTGTCAAATAAATCAATAAAAATCTTAAAAAAACAAAACCAAAAAAGCCCTGGAAAAACCAACACACACTCGGGATGCTTTGCATATATACTCAAGAAAGCTTGGCTGTTTTGAAAAATGACAGTGAAGTCACGACAACTCTGGAAGGCTGGGGGACCTGGAGGGATGCTGCGGCCCTTGCTCTGCTTGGAACAGAAGTCATGAATGGTGCATCCAGGCTAGCGCTTCTGTTACAAAATCTCCATGGAACCCCGAGAAGTCACAGGAAAGGCTCTGGCCAAGCTACCCAGTGGCTATAAATGCAGGTTTATATTCTCTAAAAGGCTCTAGCACATGGTATATTGCTTTTATAACCAATTTTTGGAATGTTGTGACCCCTCCAGGAGAGAGCTGCTCTGTCCCGGCCATTTTGTTTCTAAGACAACCTCAGCGATAAAGTTACAGAATGCACGTGGTATGATTCCAAGCATGTGAAAAAAATTATATAAACATACATGCTTAAACTTGCATTCATACATTTATGCACATAAAGTCCCTGAGGAAAAAAATTCAGATACACATGAAATTTGTGTCCATGGTTACTTCTGGAGGGGAGTGGGGACAGGTGGCTGGGGTCTACTTGGATGTTAGGGTTAGGGTTTGTACCATTGTACGTTTGTATACAACCATATTTGTGTATGCCTCACGGAGCTGTAGGACGTACCATTCTGAAACAGTACTGCCTAAAACTGGAGACCACTGTGCCCACGGCAGGGGCAGGGAGGGCCGGCCCCGAGCGCCACTGAGAAGACGAGCCCTGTGTGTGCGCGCAGAACAGAGGAACTGGCCGGCCTCGGGCAGTCCCAAACACAACTTTCACTCTGAGGAAACAAAGCCACACAACCCTCCTCCTTGGAAGGGAAACAGCTCGGACCCCCCCTTGACAGCAGATTTCACCGTGGCCCCAGAGGGTGTTTAGAAGGCCAAGCAGGGCGGTGCCATGTGGGGCAGGACTAGGCTGCGGCAGCGAGTCTCACGGGATTCCAGCAGCAACGTCTCCACAGCAGCTGCCATCGCACGCACACACCCAAGTACTGGCTGAGCCCCTTCTGTGCAGGGAATTGGACACGGGCATCGTGAGCAGCGCTGAGCCATGGGCAGGCTGTCAAAGAGACCAGGGAACCCCAGGAAACCCACTCCCGCCACTGTGTCAGGCAGCGTGGTTCAGAGGGTCGAGTCTGTGTGGAACACGCACCTCGCTCTACTGAGCAAACACTTGAGGTGTAGTCACCCCAACCCCGGGGAAACATAGACAGCTAAGTGCTGCTGTGGGGGTGTGAAAGAGAAAGGTGGACTCGGTCCCAGCCGGTCTCCGGCAACGGCTCTGGGGCTGGTGAGCCTCACTGCCCATTACTTGTTGCATTTGTGCCAAATCAACAACACAAAGTGGGGCCGGGGGGCGGGGGGGCGCACCACTGGGCACCTGTGTTTGTGATAATTACGTTTTCCGTTAAACTGCTCTTTTGTGACTTCCTTTTTTTTTAGGTGTTTTTTTTTTAAGTGAAATTGAGCAGCCCCTTTTGTATGACCAGAAGACATCCTGAGATCACAATCCCTTTCCTTTTCTCCCAAATGTAAGTCCTTCCTACGAGTGTCCTGAGGCTAGAGCCTGCCGAGGCAAAGCCCTGCTCTTGCTTGCAGACAGAAGGCCTCGTGGGCCTGGCCACAGTCCTCAAGCCCGCCCTAGAGCTGAGCCACAGCAGGACGACTGCCAGGCCAGACGCCCCCAGTGCACGGGGCTTTAAGAGGCACCGTCTGCAGAAGGCTCACACTTTGACCTCTGATCGAGGGTCACATGGAGGACTGCATGCAACGCCCCCACCATTGCTGCTTTGACAAAACAGGCAACAGGCTAGTTCCTCTATGCGCACGGGAGTCTGGCTTTCCTTTCTACTACGAGAGGTCTTTTCTCCTTTCTGCAAAGTCACGTGACGAGCCCAGTAAGCCTTTGCTAACTCTATGCTGCTGGGCTGCAACCACTGTAGTGAGAGGTGACCTCAGGGCTCTCCTCAGTCCTTCTGCTCCCGAGTCCTATAGCTCTACAAAGAAAGGCCATTCACAGTTCACTGAGGAAGGATGGACGAGAAGTTAGCTGAATCAATCCTCCACGGCCCTAAATACAGGAGCTGTTTTCCACGGGCACCATACTGACTTCCCCCAACTCTGCTTCACCTTTATGGGCCACTGGCTTTGTTCTTGGAAACCAGTATTGGCTGGTGGAAGACTGTAAACATCCATCAGTGGAACAGGAGAGAAACCTGGGGATAGACCCACACAGTACGGCCTGCTGGCTCACACAAGGGTGCAAAAGCACCAGTGCAGGAAGGACAGGACTTTCAACAGACACCCACAGGCCACAAAAACGAACCGCAGCATGAACTGCACGTCGTAGATGACAGAGGAAATATCAAACCCTAAAACTTTCACAAGGCGACACGGAGCACCACTGTGACTTGGAGGTAGACAAAGAGTTCCTGGAGGTGATGCTGAAGTCAGACTGAGCACCTCCACCCTGCGACAGGCACTAGGAAAGCAGGACAAGCCAGAGGCCAGGAGAACACACTGCTGATCACCTATCCAACAGAAGACTGGTGTCTACAGCACTTCAAGAACTTTCTCAACTCACTGATAAGGAAACGGGCACAAGATTTGAGCAGGAGTCACCAGAGAGAGAGACAGATGGGCGAAATGCACAAGAAACATGCTCAATGTGGCCAGTCACCAGGGAAATGCAGACCGACACCACCAGGAGATACCACCTCCCACCCACGAGGGTGGCTCAGAACAGACTGAGCGTCGAGCGTGGAGAGGGTGTGCAGTGACTGGAACTCTCTCTGGAAAGCTGACGGCAGCTCCCTACGAAGCTGGCATGCGCTCACCTGCGGATCTGCCCGGGTGACACGGAACGAACACCTGGAGGTTTAGAGTAGCTCCTTCTGTGGAACAGCCCGTGTTCCCCACTGGGGGACGGATAAACACCACTGTGTGGAGAATGCCAACCTCAGAAGGCCACCCGTGGTGTGACCCCATGTGGAAGGCATTCTGGGAGAGACAGGGCGACAGGCACACAGAGCAGCTGAGGGGTTGCCGTGGCTGGCCCTAAGCAGGGACCGCGAAGGGGCAGCACGAGGGAGTCTGGGGGTGACGGAACCAGCCAAATCTGCCTCGTGCACCTCCTCAAACTCGGAATGGGAAATGACAGGCCATGTGAAAAGGCTGTCTGCTGGGTGATGCCCTCTCAGTGACATTCTGGAAAAGGCACCTATGCAGACATTGCTGGGGAGGAGGAGTAGCACGGGGGACTCCCGGGGCAGGGACACTATCCTGCAGGAGCCTGTAACGGTGGACACAGGATGCTGTGTCCTACTGTTATGTCCTGTCCTGCCGTGCACACACACGTACCAAAGGCACCTGCTCACAGCTCATTATGGACAGCGGCCCGTACCGCAGACCAGACAAGTCCCCAGTCTAGCAGGGGAGGAAGAGAAATTAAAGCACAACAGGACAAGTAACACCATGCGCACGCACACAGGACCGCCCTCCCCGAGCCCCCAGAACTGGTGCACATGAGCACCAACTTCGGGTGGCTCCTCCCTTGGTTAAGTCCAGGTGAAGGGGAGATAGGGTCTGTTATATTGCTGTTTCTACCTTTCTGACACTTGAACTTTTTCAGGATGAATTTTTCTGGAAGACTGGAAGAGTGACCACCGTGCTTCTCAGATGCACTGGTCAAAGCAGACACAGGAGCAGCCTGTACACGGCGTCACCAAGCTTCTCCACCTGGTCTGGGAGGGGCTCCCTAGAGCCCTAACTGACCAGGCCCCAGCCCCCGGCCGTTCCGGAGCCATGGGCTGGTCCGAGGCCTGGCAGATAAGCGCCCACAGAGCCCGAGGGAGTGCAGGGCTGCCCGGTCACACGTGAGAGACACAGAACTCACAGACTCTGAGGAGGCTCAGGGCTGGGGCAGCGTCCGAGGAAGAACCCGTCAGCCGGAGAAGGGAGGGAGTGTCCCGGGTGGGGCGGCAGATGGCTATGGCAGTCAGAAACCCTAGTCCCAGCGGGGCACGCAGCCTGCACCCATGGCTGTGTCTCGGCAACTGTCCTGAGCCCCGAGCCCACGACAGAGATGAGGGCCGGCCCCCAGCCCGCGACAGACATGAGGGCTGGCCCCCAGCTTGCGAGAGACATGAGCCCCCAGCCCGCGACAGACATGAGGGCCGGCCCCCAGCCCGCAACAGACATGAGACTGGAGGAAGGAGCAGGGAAGCAGAAGCCGAGGGCACCCAGCCTCTGTGTGGACACTTCTCGAGCCCGCTCCGGGCTCTGTGCTGGAGCTAGCTTCCAGCTGTCCCGCACCTGAGGTCTCAGGGCCAGCACTGGCGTCTCCCTCACCCCACGACCCTCCAAAGGCTCCTACACAGTTTTGCCACCAGGCAGCGACAGCACCCACTCATCAGGAGGCCTCAAGACTTAAGCCACAAGTGTCATTATTTCTGCTGCCAGAAATACAGATACATGCATTTTCATAAATAAAGCCGCACAGGGCAAAAGTGGTCACAGCAGCTTAAAACTAATAAAAAAGAATACCCTTTCCCAGCGTGGAACTTCTCTAAAAGGACAAAAGCATGCTTGTTAGATACTCAAATAATAGAAGATCGGTGTGAAGAACAGGGGTGCCCCATGCACCTGCCACCCCCAGAGAGCCCTGGTGTGAGGTGGGCGGGAGCTACGCACTGAGCCACCCCGCTGTGGCCACGCAGCCACACACACACCCTGTCTCGCTTCCAAAAAGAGCAGAGCCCCCACATCCCGCCAGGAACAGGCTTCTCTCTGTGCCACGCCCTGCCAGCATGAGTGACACTGGGATGTGCACCCTTACAAAGGTGGCTCGCCACTGGCCTAATGGCTTCCCAGAAGCAGGACTGTGGGGTCAGAGGACACTCACACTGCACTCCCGCTGTTTGCGAACACCTTTGCGGACAATACTCTGAGACCTCTCCACCCACGATTTTGAGAAACGATACCACTCCTGTCTGCCTTCCTCCTTACCCTAAGCCACGCAGGGTGGCACAAGCAATAACTTAACCCCCTTCATGATCTGGGGGGGTCTGGAGAGCGGGCACGTAGGCCCTGTGAGTTCTCCCGCACGGCTGTTACACACCGGGGCAGCCAGGGAAAGAACTGCAATGTGACTCTGGCTGCAACCCCACGTCTGTGGATTCATGTCAGGAGAACAGACGCCTCCCCATGCTCTCAACCAGACCTGCCACTGTTGGCCTCGACTTTGATGCTGTAGGGCTGAGGTCAAGTCTGTCTGGCCCCTTCCTGCCTCCCCACGTGGCCCTCTTCAGAAGTCCCTGTGTGCGGCCCATAGCCGAGGGACAGAGGAGTTATTGCAGTCCGGGTATCTACACAAACTGTGGGGAACGTGGCACAGGAATGTCCTTTCTGGTCCCCCACACAGTCACCCAATCGCTGATCCTATCGGTCCAGACACATGGATGTTTACTGGTCACAGGATATCCCAAGAGCACGGTACTAAATATTCAAAGCAAACAGGAGGTGTAGATGGTCCTCCCGGATCCTTGCTTGTTCAGAACCATCCTAACAGTCACATCACTTCCGGGCTTTACTAGGATGGCTCCTCGCTGAGCCTGTGGGGACATGGCGGTATGTGGGAGTTTACGCATCCCTTTGGCCCCCAGCTCAGGGCCTCTCCAATCTCTACCAGCCCCTAAAACCGACCATGAGGACACTTTCACACTTACCAGCACACCTTCCCCACACCGGATCAACCGTGAGACAGACCCACGTGTCCTTCCAGAAACCCAGGAGGCCACCTCCTCTCTGTGCTGCCTCTCACAATGAGACTAAGACAAAGCCAAGCAAACTCCCAGTTTTCCATCAAACCAGTCCCTGATGCCCTTGAGCACAAAGAACCAGTCTGGGGCAAGTGAAATAAAAGGTGAAGAAGACTCCCCGCAAATCGCATCCAGGGAAAGTGCTCCAACTCATGGGGCAGCTCTTCCGCCGGTGGGGGAGACACTAACACCAGAAACCACTTCCGCCAAGGACCCTCCGCCTTCTCTACAAAGTTGCCCCAGAGACATGCAAGTCACGTCCACAAACTAAGAGAGCCCACAAACTAAGCTTCGACCCCACAGCCGCAGGGCCTGTGTGAGGATGGGAAGAAGGCAAGACGCTGAGGCTGCAACAGGTGAGTGGGGGGCGGGATGCCGTGACAATGAGTCACTTGCTCTTGAGCTTATCCACACACCTCCAGGAAGCTCCACCTGCCCAAAGACACAGTGGTGAAGGCTGCCTGCTCCCCTGGCAGATGGGGTGAGTCACTGCTCTTTTCACATGGCGCTGATACACGCATCCTCGTTACCACCACGCCTGCTTCCAAACGGGGGCAGTTCACAGAAGTCAACCCCGGGAACCCAACAGGAGCATCTGTAAGGGAAGATGGTGGACGGAGCCAGAGCAGAAACCACACAGCCAGCCCCAGCTGTCAGGAGCTCACGCCTGAGGGACGGGGGTGTGCAGGCCATCCAACACCAGGCTGAGGGAGAAAAGCGACCAGAGATGCAAGAAGGCCATGCCCTGCAGACGTTGCCTTCGATCAGGAGGGGCCTGGGGAGGGCCGGTAGGTCCATCTAGGGCAAGGAGCAGAGATCCGGGGAGAGTACATGAGCTCTGGTGAGACGGATGGGAGGGACATGGCAGCCATCGACGAGGGCCACACAGGAGGGGAGCAGGGGAGAAGGCCACACTCACGGAACCCGCAAACCGTGGAACAGGGGAAGGTCTGGGCAGTGCAGCAGCGTGGCTGGGGGACCAAAGAAGAACAGCAAAGGGCTGACGGGAGAGGAGCGGGACCCGGCCAAGAGGGACCCTGAGAGTGTGAGGTCAGGGGGCCTTCCCAGGAAGAGCTGCTGGAGGCTTCCAGCTGGGACATAGCAGAGGTCTATGACGTGATGGGATTTCTAAATCGGGGCCAGAAATGGGGGACAAGTTAGATCTGGGATCCCTCACCCAGAAAAGGTAACAGAGGCCCTGGGGAGCGTTCACACACCCCAAGGAGAGCACAGAGGGGCGCGAAGCTAAGGACGGCATCGGGACGGTCCCAAGAGCAGGGTGGGAGGAGAGAAGAGCAGGCGATTACAGGGCTAGAGAGCCACGCCCAGAGCCAGACACCTGGCGGGAGGCCGGGGACCAACTAGAGAAGCTGACCTAGTGAAGGAGGCCTCGAGGGCCAACTCTGAAATGGGGGCCAGGGGGCGAACCAAAGTTCCATTGGGACAATAGAAGAATGGGGCACAAGGCACGTGTCACAGGCCATCTCTGCCGCAGGAACGGTCACTGCGGTTGGGGCAGAGCAAGCGGGAGAACCTTGAATGCAGACGGCGTCACACCTGGCCTTGGCTCAAGGGGCGCGGAGCCTCGGTGGGCGCAGCGCAGGAACAGGACCAGAAGGGCAACAAGAAGGCGGGAACGAGGGCCTGCTCTGGCAGAGGAGGGGGTGGGGACAGGGCGGGAACGAGAGGCGGCGAGGGCTGAGTGGGTGCTGCCACCCTGCCAGGGGACCCGCAGGAAGAAGGAAATGGGGAGCAGCCCGGGCGTGGTCCCCCTGCTCTCCCAGGGCTCCGAGCGGTAATCTGCTTGAACTCTGGGGAGTTTGGCACCTTACGGACCTCGTTGAGAAAAGGGAAGAAAACCATGAGCCTCCAGGTCTGGGCTTCAGAGAAGCCCACAAGTGTCCCAAAGCAAAAGTGTGCTCCACAAGATAAGCCCCACTTACCCGGCCTGAATGAGCTCATTCAACTTCGTCGCGTTCTTGTCATCCATACCTTTAAATGGAAAAGCAAATAAATGTGACCATGAAGCTCTAAGGAACAAAACCGGTGAACATTCCCAGGTTGTTATCAGGTAATTATCTTCCACGTAGGAAGCAAACATCGCACCTCCTTTATAAAAAATGCAAGGTCTTCCAGAACACAACCCCTCCTTCAGCTGTAGCTCCTCCCACAAAGCCTGGGCTGAGGGCGCCGTCCCCACCTGCGCGTCCATGCACCCGGACTCTTCGGGGGAACTGCTATCTGCCTCCGCACAGCTGATCCCTCCCCCGTGGCCCCCGCCACGCTGAGCCTCTGCCCCTCCCTAGCCGCAGAGCTCAGAGACTCCCCTCAGGGTCACCACCACACATGCTTCTCCTGCTGGGCTCATGCTATCTGTGGGCCTGCCGAGGTCTGCTCTGGAATCCCGGGTTCCCAGGTGGGTGGATGATGAACCAAGACCCTCTGCCTTCACTGGAACTGATGTCATGTTCCTCTGCCCCCTCCCAGTGTTAGGGCTATTCTCAAGATGTGCAAGAAAAAAAAAATTAGATGTGCAAGAAAACTGAGTAACCTGGTACGTGGTGGATGTTTGGGGGTCATTGCAAAATTCTTTAAACTCTTCTATACTTCTGGGGAAAGAAACAATAAGCCACAAACATACAGCCAGGCTGAAAACCAAGACAAGGACAAAATACTCAAAGCAGAAGAGAAAAGTAATGCATTCCTTCCAGAGGCACGAAGACACAACAGCCAGCAGCCTCTCCCCAGAAACCACGCAGGCCGGAGACACGGGAGCAACATGTTTACAGTGAAGAAAGGAAAAACCGCTGAATCAGAGCTCTACATCCCGCAAAGACACCTTTGGAGAACGAAGACAATGTAAAGCTTTACAGATGAAGCATCTGAGAGACACACGTGACGAGAAACCGCAAGGCAAGTCCCACAGGCTGCAGGGCCGCCGCCCAGACGGAGATGGGCCTCCGGGCCAGAATGGGGAGCAGCGGGCGCACAGCCTTGCTCGCTGACCTGCCCCAGACACGCACAGGCCACAGCAGCGCGGGTGCTGTGCAGCAGATGTTCCCGCGGGGGAGGCAGGGTCTGCGGGGCCAAATGCACTGCCCGGAGGCCAGCCTGTCCTGAGGTCCCTGGGCATGTGAGCAGAGATCAAAGGGGAAGCAGAAAGTAATGGGCAAAAGAGAGGGAAGAGCCATCAGTCCTGTGCCTGGCAGGCCGGACAGACCGAAGGCCCAGGGGGTGGAGACACTGCAACTAGAGGGTTTGAGTCATGCGATGGGCACCATCCAAGGAACCAGCCTTCAGAGAAAAGCCACCTGAACACACAGGTGAGGACTGGAGACGGCTGCTGTCTCCCCGCACCCCATCCCCACACCAGGCCGCACCACACCGGCTGCAGTGGCAGAAGGAATAAGCTGTGGGTGTAAGACCCAGTCCTGAGGGCAAACCTGCCACCTAATAGCCCAGGAGCCTTATACGGACACTTGTTTTCATCAAAATGGAGCCTCCTCAGCCCCAGGGACGCCACCCAGCACAGCAGCGGCCCCGATGCTGGACACATGGTGCGAGTGTCCGAGTCTCAGGGACGTCCACTGTTTCAGGACTCACATGTGTCCAGAGACCTCAGTTAGGAAAGGCAACTTAAATAAAAGCATGCTCTGACCACGATTTCTGCACAGCCCAGAAACGCCTACCCACAAGCAGTCATGAGAGACCACAGCACCCATGGCACTCTGCTGAAGGCTGCACCTCGAAGCCTGTCCCTTCCCTGCAAAGATTCACAAAACGACACAGCAGCATTCCAGTGAGTGGATCCATGGGTGGGGGGCAGGCAGGGCTCAGGCAGACAAGCCCCACGGGGGTGGAGGGCACTAAGAGCTCAGGTGGGACCTCAGGGGTGTGTGCACGTGCATGGGCGAGAGAACGTGTGACGTGCGGCTGGGCCAAGAGGGACTGGGGAGATGTCACCAGCAGGATGGGGTCAGCTGAGCTGCAGGGCAGCAGGAAGAGGGGCAGAGGTCCAAGCGCAAAGGCCCCTGGGGCCGGGGTCCCAGGGCTACCCGGGGAGGGAAGGGGGGCAATGGCAAGCCACCCAAGGTAAGGGAGCCAGGCCAGCCTCACAAGGACTCAGACGGGCTGGGGGAGCGCGGGCTGAGACCTGGACGTGGCAGGGACGAAGGAGGGGCCACCACTGCAGTGGCCGGGAACAACTGGTGCCCTGTACGGCACCACATTCGGGAGCACCCCAGGACAAACCAGCAGGTGACAAAGAAGTGCTCAGATCATGGGGAGGACAGGGTCAGGGAGCCAGGCCACCTGTCTGGTTTTTAGGCGGGCGTGTGCAGCACAGTCCACGAACCACGAACGTCCATCCTCCCTGGCCCTCTGCTGCTTCCACACCCCCGCCCCGCTGCCCCCTGAATGGTGGCATGCTGGGTGACCAGGGAGGAGATGGATTCCGACCTTCTCACATGGTCTCACTAGGCCTCTGGAGTGGCCCTCTGGGTGAGCACCCTTCCACTGTGGGAGGGCAGCCAGTGGCTCCTGCAGACACAAGGGTGCCCCTCGACTGGGGCCACACGAGAAGGCGAGGTAGGCCACTGGATGCTCAGGGCCCCCAGAAGGCCAGAGCATTTCTACATCTAATGAGAATCTGGTTACAAGGAAACAAGCAGAGGGACCTACAGGGAGGGGCCCAGACCCTTCTAAGTAACCAGTGTCGTGCAAGACCAAAGGCGAAGCTGTTCCCATCAACAGCTCCAAGGGGGGCCACAGGTACAAGCAGGACCACATCCCCAGCCCGCGCCCCGGCCGGTGCCCCGAACTGTGTGACTGGACTGGGTGCTGGGTGTTCTGGGAACACAGACAGGGACTCGGTAAGACCACGGCGCCTGTTTGGTAACAGGATTGTGGGTGCCTGAGCTCAGGGGACACAGGATGAAGGGTCAAGGCCCTGCTAGGATGCCGAGCAGGAGAACGTGCATGCGTGGGGTGGGGGCACTCGACGTGACCAGTGTCAGCAACACGGAAGTCCAAATGAAGGTGCAGGTATGTGGAGGCCAGGGTGCTCTTCAACCCACTGCACCCCAAAATGTCTCCAAGATTCTAGTCGGAGGGAAAAGAGCCCTGGCGTCACAGACCGGTGGAGACGGGAGGGCCGGCCCAGCCGGTGGGGGCCACAAGCAGCGCAGGGCCCGCGTCCCGTACTCACAGCCCCCGACCTTCTTCCGTAGCTCGCCGTAGCAGATCAGCCCGTACAGCTCCTGCGACGACTTCTTCAACCCGCGGGAGAACACTGAAAGACGGAGACAGGGCCATGCGTTACAACGGGAACACACCCACGCTGGGGTTGGCCAGCGCACGACACGGGACCAGCATAGGGGACATTCATGCCGCTCATCTGCAGTTTCGACCACTGCCCCAGGGAAACGAGTGAGGCGCACACGGGAACGAGGGGCTGGTTTTCAAATTTACAAAATAAGGTAAGAAGTCAAAGAGACTGGGGAGGGGCCAGGAAGTGAGCCCTCACAGCGGGGGGAGAGACTGGGATGGCCGCGTGGCCAGCTTCCACGGAGGCAGAGGTGGAGTGGCAGCATCTGTCTCCGCACACACAGACCCACCCGAGCTCTGTGTGAGGCCAGCAGCGCCGGGACCGAGGAAGCTGACCTGTCGGGCTATCTGACCACTGACCAATGGCCCAGGGCTTAGGGCCAGACGGAAGAGGAAATGCAGCCCCCACCATCCCAAGTACCGATACCCACTATCCCCCTGCTCCTCAGCAACAGACCCACTTCATTCAAGAAGCAACGCATCCAGGTCAGACAGCACACGTCCCAGCCTGCCCTGTGGCTAGACAGTGCCACTGGTCTTTGGTGTGAGCAGGAGACTTCCAGAAGCTCCTGACATGACTGAAGACTGACTCAGGACGAATGTGTCCTTCTGGCCCACCCCTCTTCCCTGCAGGGCTGCTGCCTGGAGCCGTCCTGGACACAAACATGCAGGGGACGGCAGAGCAGAAACAGGGCAGACCTGGTCCCCGATGCCCACCCTGGACTGCCTCCCTGCGGTCTTGGACATGAGAGAACAAATCCTTCCGTGCTTAAGACCGCGTTGCTTTGAGTTCCAGGTTACCCAAAGCCAAACCTGAGTGCGATCTGCCAGCCCGGGCCCAGCACAGTCTGGTGCCATCCCCACCACCTCACAGAGCAGTGACCCAGGCAGCCTGTCCCTCCACTGTCCTCACAACGGCTCTGTCTGGCTTCTCCTCAGAGAGCCCTTTTCAAACTCCTAACACTCAGGGCTTGTTATTAAGTCACCAGAAAAGGAAAACAAAAATACATTAGCAAGCGGAAAATTAGATCATTGAACGAATGATCTAAACTGAAGGTTCTGAACCTCACATAGGCTGCCAGGAGCCTGGGACTCCACTAACATCCCACCAACCGCTCCTGAAGGTTCTCCAGAGAAAGACCAAGGCCTCATCGGGACTCTCATGGGGGACCGCTGCTCAGGACACTTTGAGACTGCTAGGCAGTGGATAAACAAGCACGGAACACACAGTGGGATGGTATCGGCCATGCGAGGGAAGAGAGTTCTAGCACCTGACACAAAATGGATGAACTGAAGAAGACACGGTGCTCAGGTAGAGGCCACACACTGATACTGTTGCTATGAAATGTCCAGAACAGGCAAACCCTCAGAGACATGAAGTGGATCTGAGCTTGCCAGGGGCTGAGGAGGGGAGGGCGGCTGGGCAGCGCCAAGCCCTGAGGTAACTGCCAGCACACCAAAAAGGGCAGGCAGCCCTCGGGCTTAATGTGGTCACCTGGCTGTCACCAACATGGGAGAGATCACCAGGACCAGCAAGAAACCTTGGTGGAGGGGCGCCTGGATGGCTCAGTCGTTAGCGTCTGCCTTCGGCTCAGGTCATGATCCCAGGGTCCTGGGATCGAGCCCCACATCGGTCTCCCTGCTCAACAGAGAGCCTGCTTCTCCCTCTCCCACTCCCCCTGCTTGTGTTTCCTCTCTCTCTCTCTCTCTGACAAATAAATAAATAAATAAAACCTGAAAAAAAAAGTAACTTTGTTGGAACCATCAGCTCAACAGAAAGAAGGCTCTTCTCATGGGGTCACTATTTTTTTTTAAAGACGTTCTTTATGTATTGGGTAGAGAAGGGGAATGTAGGGGAAGGGACAGAGGGCGAGAGGGAATCCTCAAGCAGACTCCCCGCCGAGCAGGACGCCCGACATGGAGCTCAATCCCAGGATCCCGGGATCATGACCTGAACCGAAGGCAGACGCTAAACCCACTGAGCCACCAAGAAGCGCACAGGTCAGGTGAAGGACAGTGGGGACATGGGCCACTGCAGAAGGCAGGGAAGGGGTTTGTGAAGACCACAGATGTTATTAAGTTTTAGATTCATCAGGATCTGGACCAGTGTTGATGTTTTCAAATAAACTCGTGATCTGAGAAGCATAGTCAACTAAGGACACGTACAGCCAGCAGGTACACGGATGGCGTGGTGACACTCTGGTAAAGAACAAAATGTGGCTGACTGGCTGCCACACACCCAGGCCTGCAGAGAATCTCCTGTTAATGCTCATATGAACCCCGAAAGCCAATAAACAACAGAGTATCAGCAAAAAATCTGCCAAGTATGACCTAGGGATGGTCCCCAAAGCGTGGCAATCAACAGCCCATTTCCACAGGTCTCCAGAAAGAATGGCAATCCACATCAACGGATATGCTGTCCCGAGGTGCCGGACCCACTGTTCTTTCCTGATCTACTTTCCCCATGGAGGCGCCAGGCTGGGCTGGAGGCCCCTGAAGCTGGAGGGACTGGCCTGGGGTGCTGAGCCCTCCCTCCGCCCAGGTGGCTTTGATTATGTGTTGTAAACACTGAGACACGTGTCCCCTGCAAGGACCGGAAGGACACCACTCGAGGTAGCCAGTGGAAGGTGCTCAAGCCGGAAAGGGACCTGGAAAGGACTTGTGGAAACAAGAGCATCGTGCTGGCCAGAGAGCAGCTCGGTGGGGCCATAAACTTGGCAGAATGAAGGCACTGCACACGGGGTCCTGCCGTGGAGACGGACTGGCCACGGGTGGGGTGTGCTCGACAGGCCAGCAGGCCTGATGCTCATCCTCAGAGAGGACAATTAGCACTCACGACGAGATGCTCACAACGAGACATAACTAAACTGATCTCAATCCTGTAATTTACTTGAAGAAAGTGCTTCTGAAGGAAAGTGGTCTGTGAACAGGGATGTCCACAAGTGCATTATTTAAAACCACCAGAAGTGACCTGCCAGTCCAAAAGGAAAAGTAAAAACTTATTCACCTGTAGTGACATCACTCAACAAAAGGACACTCAACAGGAAGCAGAGAGAAACCACACAAGGGTATGAAAAGTGGCCTGCAAGCTGGCGATCGTGGGAGGGGTGAGGAGCTGCGCTGAGCACATGGCGGAGGGCGTCTGGGAAGAAGGGGGGGTCTCGGCTCCCGCACTGACCCATCTCGGTGAGCGCCAGTGAGGGCCTGCACGGCTGCGCCTGGGTTTTCTCGTCTGCCCTGCGGGGGACGTGCTCAGCCACAGGCACAGAGGCAGCCCACACTCAGAGAGCAGGAGGGGCAGGGAAGGATTCAGGCAGGAATTTCCAGGAGAACAGCACAGGCTCTCGGTCTGGGAAGGTGAGCAGGAGTGCAGGTACCAGGATGGTGGAGACCACACTCCTGCCGGCCTGCGGGTCAGCATGAGAGTACCTGGCGGGGCTGCGGGAGGGGGCAGGGGGCAGCCCGGCAGAGGCACACCTGGTGGGGATCTCGTGATGTGAGGGGCAGGTTCGAACGGTGGGACTGGGCCATGGGAGAACAGCAATGATCTGGAACAGGACCAACAGGGACCAGGCAGTGAGGACAGACCCGAAAAGCTCTGAGGTACAACCAACAAGACTGGTGACAGATGTCCACGGAGATTCGGAGGGAAGTACATGCAGGTGACAGGGTCAGGTAACAACTGTGACCGTCTGGAGCTTGGGAGCTCTGTCCCCAAGGGCTCCCACACTGGCCAGTGGCAGCGAGGAAGGATTTCTGTAGGGCAGGGGTCAGCAAACTATAGCTCACAGGCCAAACACAGCCCATAGCCTCTTTTTGTGAAGGAACTGTTTCTGGAACACAGCAACACTCATCTGCTTACCTTTTGTCTACAAACATCTTTGATAGACTGCAAACCCCAAAGCCCAAAATATTTACCATCTGACCCTTTACAGAAGGAGACTGCTTGAATCGTGCTCTCTGGGCCTTTCTCAGGCCAGAGGAGGAACCCCATGTCCCGGAATGCTGACCCGTGGGAGAGCCAGGGAGGAGAGTTGTATGGGTCAGCCTGGGGGGGTCCGCTGGCACACGCATGGCCGAGACTCCCCAAATGGGCCAAGTATGCCCACAGGAAATACGGGCGGTCATCCATCAGGGCTGACACCAAGGGCTCATGGCGGCAAAGATTCAAAGCGCGAGCGACAGACCATAGCCACCACAACTGTTCTACATCAGAACTTAAGACTATTTTAACAGGAGAGTCAGAAATGAGTGAATTTGGTAGAAGCAAATGTCCGGAATGACCGAGCTACGAGTGAAACTATAGAAACAAAGAGCGACATCAAGAAAGGTGAAGTGATGACAGAGAGGCAGGTGTGACACGTGGAGCCAGGAGGTGGCCACACCTCCCCTAGGGACAAAGAGGCTGGTCGGAAACACTGCTCTGAGCGCTGACCCGGACATGTGAACCGAACACGGGACTACTCGAGCCTGGCTTCAAATGCAGACAAGAGCCCTGAGAAAGCTAGCCCTCCCCGCTGGCCCTCCCCCTGGCCCACCACACACCGGCCCTACCCCACCCTCACCCCAAGGAGCCCCCACTTGGGAAAGGAGGGCGGGCACCGAGGGGGTCCGATTCTGGCCGGCCCGCACCCGTGGCCCACCCTCTCCTGGTCAACCGGGGAGCCCTACCCTCCCAGCACGGGACACGGGCCCAGAGCGAGCCAGGGACCAAGACGCCCAGGCACCCAGGGACCTTAGAAATACATGCAGCTTCCTCACCATTCAGCTTAACCAACGATGCCTGGGCATACCACCAGCCAAAGCGCCACGAGGCACGGTATCCCTGGCCATGTGGCCGGGTGAGAACAATGCCAGAGGGTGTGTCTTATGGGTTTGTGGGAACCAGCTCCTGACCAGCAGCCAACTGTGCCCAAGCACACTCACCGTTATCAAAGTCAATGTACTTGGTGATCTTGTGCCACGTGCGGTAGTAGAAATGCCGGACCTGCTCTTTGTTCTTCACCATGCTTGCTGGTTTGCCTTTCTTCTTGTACTTGAGGGCAATGTTGTTCTGAATGGCTTCAAAGTCTTTCCCATGCTGGAAAATGAAGTCCACATTAAAAGCACAGAGGTTACAACAAGGCAGTCTTCTGTACAACACAGATACTTCCCGAGAAAGGAGAAAGGGAAAAGGAGACCACTGTGGTCAAGCAAACGTCCTTCACGGCTCTTCTTTGTACATGAAATTCAACCTCACCTCCCTAGAACCTCAGGTTTTAACTCAAATAACGGACAAAGCAGCAGTGGAAACTCAGGGACAGGAGACCAAAGAGGCAAGAGCCCTGGAGTAGGAGAGCACAACGCTCCTCCCTCAGACGGAAGGGCCGAGAGACCAGGAAAGACGACTGCTCGGTGAAGACAATCATGGGGATACACAACACGGACTACAAGGACGGAGGAGCTGAGGGTGCTCCATACCTGGACTTAAAACAATACGTCAACTATTCAGAAATATCCTCACTGCTTCGATCAAACAAAACCTATCCTATATTCACAGGGACAGCAAATATGAACACTTAGTAAGAGAACCACACATCTATGGGCTGTCCCTTCCTTCAACATCTCCTCGTAGGAGCTGAGATTTTCTGGCATTTTCAGAATGAAAGTGGTGTTCCAGAGAACAGTCACCACCAGCGCTGTGTGAGAGCTGCTGATACCTCATTGATGCCAAGACAGAAGTCCTGGGGAGGGCCCAGAGATGACAGCAGCCCAGCAGTGCAAGCACCCCCAGCACCCTTTCTTGGCTTCTAAATCCCACTTCCGAGAAGGAACCAGGGTGCCTTGAAGAGATGGGAGCAGGAAAAGTACCAGTGAGTCTGGAGTATCTTGCTGTGCTGGAAAGTATGCAAGTGCTTGAACATGACAGGAGCCAACCTGAAGAGGCTCCCAAACCTGCAACAATTTGGGCAACAAAACCAACAGGGATAGGAACAGACTGTGACATAGAATAGGCTACGTGTCCTTGAGTCCACACAGATAAAAATAAATCATTACATTCGTACCTAAATGAGGGAGAAGGGAGAGCTTTTTCTTGCAGGAGATCTCTAATAAGTGTAGAAAGAAGGATGGTCAGAAAATCATCATTAGGCAAACAGTGTAATCATAGCTATTTCAAGTAAAAAGTGGCATGGTTGCTAAAGTTAGTGGAGAAAGGAATGAAAAACAGGGTATTTACATAGTCTCAAAGTAAAAAGAAAAAAAAAAAAAAAGACTAGTCAGTACAGGACCCAGCAGGTGCCACCTGAACGCAATAATCAAGGTTCACACCACCAAACAGGATGGAGCACATCATGCGCTCTGGAGAGATGCGCCCAGGACAGCCTGGCACTCCTGTGGGATTCTTGACAAAAATGCAAAATGTACATTTAATTATGAGGTAACCTCAGAGATGCCCAAACTGAGGGCATTCCACAACCTAACAGACCAGGAGTCTTCAAAAATGTCAAGGTCTTACATGAAAAAATGCTCAAAATCACTCGGCATCAGGGAAATACAAATCAAAACCACAATGAGATACCACCTCACACCTGTCAGAATGGTTAAAATTAACAACTTAGAAAACAACAGAGGTTGTCGAGGATGCGGACAAAGGAGAACCCTGTTACGCTGCTGGTGGGAACGCAAGCTGGTGCAGCCACTCTGGAAAACAGTATTAAAAATAGAGCTACCCGGGTGCCTGGGTGGCTCAGTGGTTAAGCGTCTGCCTCAAGCTCGGGTCATGGTCCCGGGGTCCTGGGATCAAGTCCCAGATCAGGCTCCCTGCTTGGCGGGAAGCCTCTCCCACTCCCCCTGCTTGTGTTCCCTCTCTCGCTGTCTGTCTCTCTGTGTCAAATAAATGAAATCTTTAAAAAAAAAACAAAAAACGGAGCTACCCTATGACCCAGCAATTGCACTACTGGGTATTTACCCCAAAGATACAAATGTAGTGATCCAAAGGGGCACATGCACCCCAATGTTCATAGCAGCAATGTCCACAACAGCCGCACTAAGAGCCCAGACGTCCATCAACAAATGAATGGATAAAGAAGATGTGGTCTATATATACAATGGATATTATGCAGCCCATCAAAAAGAACAAAATCTTGCCATATGCAATGTCGTGGACAGAACTACAGAGTATTATGCTAAGCGAAATAAGTCAGTCAGAAAAAGACAATTATCATATGATTTCACTCACATGTGGAATTTAAGAAAACAGATGAATGTAGGGAGAGGAAAGGAAAAATAAGATGAAATCAGAGACGGAGGTAAAGTGTAAGAGACTCTTAACTCTAGGAAACAGACAGGGTTGCTGGAAGGGAGGTGGGGGGCATGGGGTAACTGGGTGATGGGCACCAAGGAGGGTACACGATGGAATGAGCACTGGGTGTTGTCCTATGCAAATGATACATCACTAACTTCTACTCCTGAAACTAGTAATACAGTATAGGTTAACTAAACTGAATTTAAATTGAAAAAAAAAAAAAAGGTGTCAAGGTCTTAAGAGACGGAAGGAAGGAGGCAGACTGAGGGCCTGTCTGCGTGTGGAGGGCTCAGGAGTCAGGACCACCGAATGCAATGTGGGACCCTGATCTAGAAAGGACATCAGTGGGAACACCAGCTAAATCTGAGTAAGGCCCACAGCTCAGTAAATGCTACAGTATCCACGTCGAATCTCCTCATTGTGCTGGTAACACAGGTTATGTGAACATCAGGAAAGGGCACATGGAATTCTTTGTACTTTTTCTGCAACTTTTTCCAAGTCTGAAATGGTTTTAAAGTGAAAAGTTAAAGTCTAAGAAATCTAAGAATTAAAGCTTCTTCACTGTTATAAAAATAAAGAACATAAAAAGGTGTCTTGAATGCCCTCCTCTGGGTGCGCCCTCCCCCGCAGGTCCCCCCTCAGCCCCTGATCAGAACCATGACGGAGCAAGCCCAGACAGCTTCTCCGTCCCTCAGCTACCCTGCACAGCAGGGCAGCAAAGCCAGACAGGTGCGCGCGCTCGCCAGCCTGGGACCAGAATCTGGGTCTGGTGATTCTCAGACTATGCTGCCTTCTGAATTCTTGTGGCATTTGTTAGCACAGGCTTCCTGACAGCACCACCTTTTATGTTCCTGCTGCATTTCTCTAATCAGACTGTCAACCCTTAAGGGGGACTTCTTTGCATCCTAGCACTCCTGTGGTGCTCTGGATGCAGATGAACCTTTAGCAATTATCTATGTGGTGAGAAGCAAGCACAGGATGCTGGCCAGGCAGCTGTAGGGCAGGAACCACAGACAGAAGAAGGAAAACGAAACGTCGGTGACCGGCTTACTCGAAAGAGAGTAAGAGGATGTCAAGGATGACATCACTACAGGCACTCGTCCTGTCATGGGGGCCACGACCCACACCCCTGGCCACAGGAAGGGTCTGGGATAGGCCTGGCCCATCTGAGTCTTCCCAGACCTGTCCCAGCTGGAGTGGGTGGTGGGGGTGGCACTCTCGTCTCTGAGAGCTGTCTGAAGCAGGAGGCAGTAAGCACAGCATGTCACCAACCCGCACGCGGGATGACAAAGCCTCCATGACATCGTTGGAGTTCCTGCATCCAGTCGGGCTTCAGCCAGTCCCCCGCCCCGTCCCTCTAGGTCATGACAGCCTCTCTGTGCTGAGCTGGGTCATCAGACGTGTGCAGCGGAAGGCAGGGAGGACGGCACATACACTGCAGAGCAGAGACCCGTGCTGGGCTCCCACACCCCACCCCACATACACTGTTCAATCACAGCCCCCCAGCTCATCAGCCCTCCATCAAGACCCTGCCAGGGTCCCGCTGCGCCTCAGGCAAACACACCAAGTGTCAGCTGTAAAGCACGTGCTCGTGCCCCCACCCCAACGTGTGCACACATGCAAACGCATGCGCACACACGCACACAGTGCACACACAGCACATGTGGGCTACACAGCACCAACTGTGGAAAGCAGGAAGTGACCACAACAGTCAGAGATTGTTCATCAAGGATTTCAGGAGACCTCCAACACCTCCAACACCAAGACCTCCAATGTAGAACAAGAAGGCTGGCCTAGCGAGAAGGGAACAAACTAATTTACCTGAAGAAAGGCAGGGTGGGTCACTGACGGGGAATCCTTCCCTCACTTTTAATCGAGAAGCACAGCTCCGGCCTGCATTCTGCACCCGGGTGGCCAGACCCCCGCAGAGCCGCGATCTCCCCAGGAAGGACCACAGCAAAGCTTGCAGGGGAGCATCAATCAGTGGCATGATGTGACAACGGTCCTGGGGCCTCCAGTCTTCTCTGCCTAACCAACAACTTCAAAGAGGCACAGTCTGGGGATGTAACTATACAAAATCAGCCCCTAGGCTATCCTCTCAAACTGTCACAGGGAAGAAAAAGAACACACCTGAACTCGCTTAAAGGACTCTGCACCTACAGGAACAAGCCTCACATATACACCTCATGGTCTCCCTGGACGACGGGGTCCATCGGCACGGACAGACGGGCCTCCTCCAACTGGGATGGCAGAACCGAAGCGGTGGCCCCCTGAAGTGAGAAGGGCAGCCACAGGACTATTCTGACACCAGCATTGAGTTCTAGCTCCTCACCCTTTCTAATCTCTCAAGGACACTTCAGAGCATCAATTCCAAAGCCCCTTTGTGCTATGAGCCCTGTTTGCCAAGCTTGGCAAGACTTTTCCAACACTGCTATCACTGTGCTATTAAAGGAATACGCTCCCTGACTGAGTAACCTACTCCTGACACTACAGTCCAATGAGGCAGTCTAAAATATGGAATAGGCACAAAGATGTTCAGTGCAGCATCGCTTACAACAGAACCTGGAAGGAACCACAACAACCAAGGCTACAAGGATGGTGAAAGAGAATGAGGACTGGCTAGAGGGTAAACATTCAGATGTCTCGGGCCACTCAGTATTTGCTGGAGCTGCTACTGTCCTCAAAAGTGGCAGGAAACTATATACAAGTGAATGGGCGTGGCTGCGTCCCAATAAAGCTTTATCTATAAATATGGGCTGCAAGCATGCAAGCCACAGGTTGTTTTAACCTGAAGTAGAATATTTATAGGCACGAAAAAAAAATACTGAGCATAGGAACTGTAACCTACCATGAAAGTGCATTTGACGTTAACAAAAGGAATATGTTTCTCCATAGTTACAAACAAATGAAAACGCAAACCGGGGAAGTGAAAATAGCTGGTAGGGAGCACAGGTGCTTCTTTGGGCAGTGGGATCCGGGAGGAGCTTCTCTCTACTTTTAGGACTTTTGACTCTGTCCCAGGTCCACTGTGACATCTCTCAGGGTTCAGCTGCCGGCTCTGACTGATGTGGCAAGTGTCCCCTTGTCCCTCCCCATCAGGGGCCACTCCTCCAAGGAGCCCTCTCAACTGCAAGGGGAAGTGCCAGAGACAGGCTCCACCATTCAGTCAAGAATGTATCTCAGGGCGCCTACAGGGCTCAATCGGTTAAGTGTCCAACCCATGGTTTCAGCCCAGGTCATGATCTCAGGGTCATGAGATTAAGTCCCATGTGGGGCTTTGCACTCAGCAACGAGTCTGCTTAAGATTCTCTCTGCCTCTCTCTGCCCCTCCCCCAGCTCTCACTTGCGCGGATGCTCTCTCAAAAATAAATAAAATCTTAAAAAAAGAAAAAAAAAGAATGTATCTGAGACAACGGGTAGACTCTTGGAGTGGAAAGAAATGAATCAAACAAGGACATCTCCTAATAGCCACTTCACTAGCATCAGCTTTTAAAAGTCACAATGAGGGGATAAAGGGCCAAGGTCAGAGGGTGAGTCCGGGGCCTTGGGGACCCACACCTGCTGCCCACGAGGGGCTCCCCACTGAACTGCTGACCTAGTAGATCTCACAGCCACATGGTCAGCACCGGCAGAGGCCAACAGAAACAGAAACACGGACAAGGTGGAGACTGGGACTTTCGGCCGCCTGTCCTGGCCCCAGAGCTCACCTCATAGAGCCCCTCGAAGAAAGTGTTCTTATCCTCTGTGCTCCACGACTCCCACTGCCGCCGGGCCTTCTTGCCTTCTTCCTTCTCACCGCTGGAAGACCCCAAGTTCCGGGAAGAGGAGCGAGAGCCCCCCGCAGGTGCAGCAGGAACAGCCCCAGACCCATTTCCGGACGACGATCCGCCACCGTCGGCTCCTTGGAGAGAAAGAACCATATGGTGACCTGTTCCAGAAGGCAGCAGAGCTCAGGAAGGCCCCAATGCACACGCCTCCACGGGGTGGCGCCACCATGGGACAGCACCTGGGACCAGCCACGGGCCCGCTAGCGCTATTAGGCAATGACCTCATCCCGATCTGACCTCGTGACTCTTTCCAACCTTTTTACAGGCAGAAAAAGAAGAAAGAGCTCTCTGCAGACCCACTGAAGGAGCATGACCACCACGTCCCCACCAGAGGCTGACAGCCCTTTGCCCCCATGTCCTGAAAACCCACATCATATATCACAGTGTCTTTCTCTACTGTGTTTGGGGTGAAATAATTGTCTTTTCAAATCAACAAACTGAAATTCAAACTCGAGAAAACATCTGAGTTTCAATGCCTTCTCTTAGATATAACCAATACTTCAAAATACGAATCATGTGATGCCCTTAAAAGAAATCTTTAAAAGGTCTTGGAACTCCTTTTTCTTGATCAATTTCCACCAACAAAATCTAATGACAACCTCACAGCTGCTCTGAAAATATCAGTTCCTAATCTCACAACGAGCCCTTGGAGGCCACGCTGAGAGGGGAGAGCAGGATGGACTGTGCGAGGCCACCATAGACTGACAGCTCCATGCTCCTGGGAGAACAGAGGCAAAGTCACAGATAAAAACCTTTTGTGACCCAATCTTCCCACCCATCTGGTTCCTTCCTCAGAGTGCAGGGAAGGCCCAGCACACCCCTGCAATGACTGGAATTCCATCCTATGGAACTTCAGGACCATCCATGGTGAGCAATCATCAAACTTTGAACAGTTTGGGAGAGGGGGCAGGATGTAAAAATAAGATCATAAAATTAAAAGTGTTTTGAAAAGCAAAAGTGAGGGCACCTGGGTGACTCAGTCGGTTGAGCATCTGCCTTCAGCTTAGGTCATGATCCCAGGGTCCTGGAATCGAGTCCTGTGTTGGGCTCCCTGCTCAGCAGGAAGCCTGCTTCTCCCTCTCCCTCTGCCCCTCCCCCCCAGCTTGTGCATGCTCTCTCTCTCAAATAAATAAAATCTTTAATAAAAAAAAAAGCAAAAGTGAAACAAATGCAAATTATCATTAAAATGCTTTCCTAGTGAGATAATCATGAGCTTTTCGAGGGGGGGTCCTCTTCCTGGGCAATCAGGGGCCTCCCTACATGGCTACACTTCCCTCATCCCCTTGACAGGGGTCTGCCTCCAGAGCAGGGACAAAAGACAGGGATTTCAGAGAAAATCAGAGGAAGTGAAACATTTTAAGTCCACTAATCCATATACGCTTGCAGAGACCATCCCTAGAAAAACACAAGCCATGGGGCAGGGATGGCCCGAGGGACAGGGGGAGGCATGGTCACCGTGCTCTGACACACGTGTTGGACTTCCCCCAGAGCGTGCCATGGAGCTGTGTTTGATCAGTCAGCTATCGGAGAGCAGAATGTGTGGTCACACATGCAGAAAAATCATGCTGCTACATAAAATGAGAGATATTCTCTCGTGTGGAAAAGTGCACCAGTTTGGTGACTTCAGAAGGCGACGTGACTGGGTCCCCAAAATCCTTGTTTATCACCACTGCACTGTCCAATTCAGCTGCCGCCACCCAAGGCGTAAATGCTGATGAATTAAAATTCAATAAAACAGAAAACCCAGTTCCTCGTTCACACCAGCCACATTTCTAGTGGTCAATGCCCACATGTGGCTTGTGGCTCCCATGCTGGTAAGCACAGAGTATTTCTACCATCGCAGAAAGTACCAGCGCTCTGTCCGAGAGCTTGACAATCACGGTCCGAAGTGCCCCGTTAAAGTAAGACACTGTCTGGCTCCGGGTGTCAGAGCCCCACCAGCCCTTACTCCAGCTGCTCCTTCCCCGGCCCGCGGGCACAACAGTCGCCCTCCAGGTGGCAAGCCGCTGCCTGGTGGGCTAAGGGTGTACTCAATACACATCTGACTTGGTCCATTCCTCACCAAACCAAACCAAACCCAAGACATGACCTAATTAGTGAACCCAGCACTTCCCGAGATGTCTCCAACAGGTGGTGACTTTCAAGCACATTTGCAGGGATGACCGGCTTCAGGCCATTTCCCATCACCTCACAGACGCTTCTGCTTCAAACCCAAGGCCACGTCACAGCAGCCATTCAGGGCATGGCTCTTATGCACAGGAAGTGCCTGCTGATTTGGAGCCTATAACCCCTCGGGTGGAGTTATCTGAGGAAGGGTTGCTGTCCACCTCTGCGACACCCACAACAGAGCACGTCAGAGTCATTTTCAACTTCTGACGAAACCTTCAGTAACTCTCTTTTTTCTAAAACAACAGCAACTTGCTAACTAGCCTGACAATCACAGCTCAGGTTTACCTCTCTGCCAGCCCACAGTGGTATCGGACCTACTTGAAAGGAAGAGACATATGTTTCTGAGAAGTCTATAATGCAGATGTCTGGCTAGCTCTTGTGAGATTTCACTGGATCACAGCACCAGCGAGACCCAAGACAAGGAGAATGAACAGCAAAGGAAAACACAATGGAAGCATTTCTGAGCTGGAAGGATCCTCAGAGATAGAAAGCAGGATAAAGAAAAACATATAAAAGGTCAAAACGCTCAAAAGCGAAAACCAATCACCCCAAGTAACCATTTCTAACGTTTAGTGACCATCATTCTAGACCTTGAATGCTTTTAAAAAGCAAACTAGAATCACAAAACTTCAGAGTAGAAAGAGAACAGGCCATCTGGTTCATCCCCCAAATTTCAGACAAGAATGGCTCAGCACTTCACTTCAGGCTCATCCAAGGACTCCAGCTCAAGAAGAAACAAGAAATAGGCCCAGAGAGACCGTGGGGGAACGCAACAGTGGGCTCCTGGGTGGGGCCTCCCACCTGTGCAGAAGCATTGCAATAAAAACAGTGACAAGTGAAGGGGGAGAGAGAAGCAAGCGAGGACAGAAGTGGGAAGGCTGGAGGCAGAAAGAGAAGACCACTGTGAACAAGACTGGGTGGGTATAGGGGCCTTCTCCGGGGGTAAGGGGGTGGGGGCAGCAGGTGCAAGAAGCCCAGCAGAAAAAAGTAGAGGACCAAAGTCAATGCTCTGTCTGCATCTAGTTTCTGAGGCCACAAAAGAGGGTGAACAAGGGTCTGCGTGATGAGAAGTCGGTGTCCCAGGAACCTGCAGGGAAGCAATGTACAAGAATAGGATCCCAACAGCAAGGTCTCTGAAAGCAGGAACAGTGTCTGACTTTTCAGTGCCCAAGCCTGACACCAGGCCTCAAACACAGCAGATGCTCCACAAGAGCTCAGAAACCCACGGAGAGCAGGGCAGGGGCCCCTCACCCGCCCGAGACCCAATGCGTCCAACAGAGCCCACTCTTCCCCGTCAACCTACTTCTGTGTCACAGTCCTCCAGCTGCCCAGGGGCCACCCAGCTTCTCCTGCTCCCATTCCTGTGGCCATGTTCCCAGGCCAGCTCCTTATCACTCCTGAGTAAGACAACTTTAACAGCCTCCTCCCTGGTCTCCAAACCACCAAGCCCGGCCACAGCCTGTTCTCCAGAGCCGGCATTTGAGGGATGCAGACGTGTGGCCGCGGTCTGCCTTCTGAGGCTGCACGGCTACCCACTCCACCTCCGGACAAGCTAGGCTGCCTGCCTCCTCTAGGTCCCCGCCATCACACATCTCTGAATGAGCCTGGAACCCTATCACCCATGCCCCTCACACCACCTGAAGAGGAGGAAACGATCCCTATTTTCCAAGTGGGGGTGCTTAGGCCTGGGGGGGAGCAGCTTGCCTGGCATGCCACACGGCTGCTCGGACCCAGGAGCGTGTGGCTCCACGGCACCTCGGAAGCACGTGCAAATGCTTTGCTTTTTTCTGTCTTCTCAGCGCGTAGCTATTGTCCACATTTCAGAGATGGCCCAAGGTCACCAGGCAGCTAGAACCAAGCCTGGGCATCTTCCTCTTGAGCCACACGACACCACGGCGGCTGCCACCCGTGTCACGGATGCTTCTGTATCTTTACTCCACACAGAGCTAAAGGATCCAGGGGTTTGGAGGGGGAACTCGACACCCCTCCCTCCGTCCTCAACAGGTTCAGTGACTTGCCCAAAGCCACACAGCTAATAGTGGCAAGAGTCAGGACAAAACTGCATGACTCAATTTAGGTCAGAGACAGAAAATGTAATGACAATCTGTCCTATCAGGCAACAACTCACTATCCGGGAGCTTTCTTTCAGAGTCTCGGAAAGTTCCTTCCTAGGGTCAGGAACATTAACAGAGAACACAGCAGACCAGCACTGCGAGATGCTCAGTGATGTCCCTCGAGGGGAGAACACGTGAGCCTCCCCTTACTTCGTCCACTCTGCACCTTCTCAGCTGGGAAGATGGTTCGACATGAGCTAAAGGCAGTCCGTCTGCAGGCGCACCTGCCTCCGACCCTGGCGCGGGAATTCTTCCTCGTGGCCTGGGTCTGTGGTATGAGAGGACAGGGACCTCTCAGAGGCTGAGGATGGCACACCTAGTCCGTGCACCTGTCCACCTCAGGTCACAATATGCCACAGTCGAGATGGAGGCAAAATGCCAAGGTCTCCTGGGGGCCGCTCCTGCGCCCCTCGTAGCACACCTCACCTGTGTCAGGCGCCACAACCGTCAAGCTTGTTTTCAGAGCCTGGACGTGACTGAGGGGGCACCCTCTCCACCAAGGCCATTCCCAGTCAGGGTGTCGCCTCGGCAGGCAGATCCAGACGCCTCCCCTGGGCCGGTGTCTGTCATCACGCACATCATGCACTGCTGCCCAACGGGCCTCCGAGAGCTGCTCCACTCCACGTGGCCGGCGCTCCGCAAGGTGGCCTCCCATGGGCTCATCCTTCAACCGGTCTCTGCAGAACCAGTGCGGATGCTGCAGCCGTACCGCCGGAGCCCCGGTGCAGGGTCCCCACCTCTGAGACATCCTGTTTCGTGAGCCGAAGGTGACCTGGAACCGTGCAGTCCGGGGTGACCCCATGCACAGCCCGCAGCATCTGCAGCCTCCACGTGGCACCAAGCCTCAGCGTCCTCTACGCTCCCGGGGCTGGGCTCCCTCACAGGCACACCGCTTCTCCCCCAAACGTTTGAGAAAAACGTTAACTAAAACCCCATTGTTTCCATGAAAACATAAGCCTTCTCTGTCAAATAAGGTGAAAACTTTCTGGAATTCTTGACATCCCTCGCAAACACAACACCTTAGAACCTCTTCCTTCTCCGGCATTTCTCCCGTCGATCTTCAGCACTAACACTGCACTTACTCCATATCCTAAAATGCTTCCATGCACCCCTACCTATGACAAAGCTCATTCTTACATCTGTGACTCCACTATCTGAAATTGTCCCTCTATCACCTTTACATCTTCGTATGACACAAAACAAGACACAGCACACGACATAAAATGAAAATCCTACAGTATCCTTGGTTGGCAAAGGACAATTCCACAAGCAAACACCACGGAAACGCTAGCTTTGTCATTAAAGCCAACAAGGTATTTGAGAGGTAGCTCAGCCTTCAAACCAATATTGAAACGTTACCTCACCTATTGGGTCTATACACTCTGTCTGTGTCTTCAATGCAAAACCAGTGTAACCCATACAACTCTGAACTTAATAATTTACAAGAGCCCCTGGGTTGCAGGGGTTTCCCTCTCTAGCCTGCACAGTTCCATCAGGGCCCATCTCTGAAGTGGCCAGGGACACAGGTCTCCTGACCTACTGTGCACAGGGGGTCCGGGGCACACAATAGGACACGTCCAGGTTACTGTGTCTCCAACCTTACGGTGCAGCACACAGGGTGTGTGGGGGGAGGGGGCAGAGGCCTTGCCTTCCTCCTCCTCTTCTCCCGACAAGGTCTGAGGGCTTTCAGTGGAGTCCGGTGCCCCTGCCCAGTTGGCCACAGTGGACTCCACACTGTCATCACTGCACCTGATTTTATTAAACAACACTTACTGAGTCACACTGGGCACAAGAATCAGAGCGCTATAGCCTCAGTGGTCTTGACAATCTGATTGTCCCTCTCCCTCCACAGAGAATATGAAGGACAGGGAGTTCACAGCATGCATGGCCATACTTCAACCGGCCTCCTGGGGCCTGGCCCAAATGCCCGAGCAGTGACAAGTGACTGCAGAGCCGAAGACAAGCGGACAGTGCCTGCATGACATGTGGGCACGCCCATGGGTGGAGGGGGCACACTCTGACCACTCCCTGCCAGGGGCTCCCCCAGAGGCAAGGGCTAGGCAGAGCCCACAAACACAGAGCTACCCTGTTTTCAAGCAACCTACCTTCCAGAATCTCTCTTGAAACACACAGGATCCAAGTCCCGTCTGCACAGCTGACCCCTTCACCCCTAAGTGTTAAGGTCAGGATGGCTTTAGGCACTATCTTGCCCAACCCATTTTGGAAGTAATGAACCTAAAGTTCGGGCACATCAAGGGACTTTCCCTTTGCCCCGTAGCTGAGCCAGCCACAAAGCGGCGCTGGGGGAGAAGCCAGGTCTCCTGACTGCTGGCTCACCCCTCTCTGCCGTATGGTACTCATCTCTCAAAGGCTGACCACATCGGGGTGACAGGCCTCAACTGATGTCTTTCAAAAACACCTGGAAGCTACAAGCAGCCCGCAATTTATGTAAAATATAAGTAAGTTCTGAACAGTGATTTACTGATTTCCTAAGTACAAGCACAGTGAAACCAGGCAACACTGCCCAACTGTGGAGATGGCACAATTCATGATCAGCTGGCCTGAAGTTGGGGAGAATGAAGGTTCTTGGGCAGAAAGGGGGTGGGGTAGGGGACTGAAGGGCAGCAGAGAAACTGAGAGTCTACCTTGTGCTTATATTGCCCCACAGGGCAGGCAACAGCTTAGGAATGTTCCTGGGACCTCTCTCTCTACCTCCCAACAGGTGACACCCAACCCAGTCTACCTGTCCAGATTCTGTAGCTCCCTAACCTCAAAGCTATCCACGTTTTCCATAACAGAAGCCCTGGGAGCCTTTTAACCACTTATGACAGGGCTTGGCTGTGTTATTTACTGTGGTGAGCCAGGCACTGGCATTATCCCCATTTACAGACAAAGAAATTGAGGCTCCAAGAAAGAGACCAGTTAGCCAAGAATCACCCAAATCACAAACTGGCCAGAAGGGGAAGGGCTTCGGGGCTCTGTCTCCTGGACCAGATTCTCACAGATACATGAATTCTGGATCTCGGTCTCAAATGCACCCTTGGATCACTCTGGGTGGCAAGGTGGGGCAGCAGGAACATGTGCGCTGGCATCGAGCAGGTCTACTGGTTTCTGGCCTGAAGCTCACCCTGTTTAGGTGGAGCATGTTATTAAGGCAACAAACCTCGGTTCCTGCACCCATTTAAAATGAGTAAGAAAGACGTAACATGTGTAGCATGTAGATGCTCTTAGCTCCCTGCCCCTTAGAATTCTAACAGAACCTAATTTGGAATCATGCTACAAAAGCATTATTCGTTGAAGTTGAGAAGACTGTCTTCTCAGAAAGAAAGCAGAGTGGTGTGCACAGAGGCACAAGGCAGACTTCCTTTCCTCCCTAAGGCTTTTCCTCCAGACTCATGGCAAGGTTCTCACGCCTGGCGGTTCAGATTCAAACTGGCAAAAGCAGTCAGTGATCAACCAAGGAACCGCCAATGACTGGGCGGGGAGCACTCCTTGAGCATAATGGAAATTACATTGTTTTCAAGCGAAAAACTAACAAATGCTAGGACCATTCATTTCCTCGTTGATCCGCACTCAGCACCCGGGATAGAGATTTCCAGTCTGTTAAGACAAACACTCCTCTAAGAAATGTTTGCAGAGGTTACCAGGCATGCTGTTGGAACCTGACCTTTGCTGGCTATTCATGGAGGTGGTAAGTGAGCAGAGGTTATGGAAGCATGAGGAGGGGGGTGTTCTGGGCACAGTGAAAGGTGCAGACAAGATCAGGGCCCCCCAGGAAACGCCAGGCTCAACACTTTCTGTGAAACAAAGCAGACACGCTTCTTACTCCTAAAAGCCACCATTACAGTTTAGCTTTATTGTTTAAAGAAATATTCACTTGCTAAAACAGGAAAATACATAAAAGTCACAAGAAGCACCAATTCTAATACATATCCATTCTCCTAACGGAAAGTCGACTGCTGCTCCAAGCACGCACTGGGACAAGAACCAAGAACAGAAGTGCCAACGGCTGATGTGAGGCTAATCCAGGAGACCTCTGGATGAGCCACGCTCAACTATGCAAACAAAAGCAGACCTCCCCTCATCACCTGACTGCCAAGAGCAACTGCAACCTGAAGCGTTAGCACCACTCCGCCTCCCACAGGGCGGCCACGTACAGGCGCAGAGTGCTTTCACTCCACCACCTTGTCTCACAGGTGAGTGTGCTGCTCATTCCGGCGGATTCGACAAGTCAGACGAGCAGATGCAGGTCAGAGAGCCAAGTTGGCAAGGCCGTGGCCGCTGCTAGGACTTCTGAACCACAAACAAACCCTTGAAGGCATCCCAGGAGCTTACTGGTGATAACTCAGACACACCTGTAACTAGGAGTGAAAAACTATTTTTTACAAAACAAAGCTGATAAATCAATGCTTTCCTAACTGATCAGCAACTTTCACACCAACATAAACACATAGGACACAAGGTTTAATTTCTGAAACATGCAAAATTACCTTACACTCACAACCTTAAGTATGCTTACATCAAGTAACTTTACCAAAAATCTGGTAAGGCCAGCAAAATTTCAGATGCCAGCCCTCCCCAGGTGAGAAGGCAGAAGCAAGTGTAAATGTACGTATTTGGCACGGGTCTCCAAAATGGTTCTCTTAGTTTCTGAAATCTTTCCTTCTTCAAATTGTCAGGGCTTCTAATAAACTTAAATTACCATTTCCCGAGAAACTAAGTAAAAGTTTTTTTTTCCTGTAAAGCTCACAGGAACTCTGCTGTTACATCTGTTACATCTGCTATCTGTGAAAGTGCTGCAGACTTGGCCTCAGACGGAGAGGAGTGAAGAGGAGCTCACTCATACGGTCAGGAAGGTGGGCGCACAAACAGAGGAAAGCAGCAACCACATTGGCAGGTGGTTTTCTTCTGATTGGGGCGGGGACCCCAGGAAAGCTGTACCACCCTCCCTCACCAGGAGCACCAGGGCAAACACCCAGACTGCTCCCTGCCTGTACCAGGCCACAAGTGTTCCCACGGCCTCCTGCCTTAGGGGACCCGGTTTCTGTGGCACCCAGGGAACCCTTCGTGGACTCAAAGGGCTGCATTTGGATGTCTTTAGGACTCCTGAGCCTGGAACACCTGAGGTAGAGGGCGATGGGCCCCAGTCAGACCCTGTGATCAATCATGTTTGGCTTCTTATGCAATGGGTTTGGAAAGCCCACTCCTTTGTTGTGCTAGGGGAAAGAGATAGGGCAGGTATTCTCTCTTTCCTTCCCCAAAGCATTGTCTGCGAGATAGCCTACCATGTAAATCAGGGACGATCCTTTCAGAGAAAACAAAACCCACCCTTCAGGAATCCATTGTACTTGCCCGGAGAGAGGGTCCTCACTGCCTCCTCACGTAGTTCCGACACAGAGAGAAACAGGCTCCTCGGGGCAGAGCCGGGGCGCGTCCCCCTGCACGGTGCCCCCCGTCGCGGAAGCCAGGGCGCGGGCAGGGCCCCCTGCCCCCCACCCCGCAGAAGCCGGGGTCCCCCTCACCTTTTCCGCGCGGCCCCGAGCCGCCCGCGCCGCCGCTCCCGCCGGCGCACGACGAGTCCTTCCTGAGCCTCTTGCTCTGCGGCCTCACGCTGGACCGGAGGAAGTGGTGCTGGTCCTGCGGGCAGGCGGGCGGTGGGGACGGGGCCTGTGGGCCGCCCGCGGGCGCCGGGGGGCCGTCGCCGCCGTCCCGGGGGGTCCTGGTGTCCCTCTTTGTGCCGCCGCTCTCGTCGGCCGCGTCCCCGCCGCCGGGCCCCTCGCCCTCCAGCGAGTCGTCGTCGGCCGCCCGCTTGCCCAGCCGCTTGAGCCCGTCCTCCCCGCCGCCGCCGCCGTCTCCCAACTTCACTGTCATCCTGGCCGGGCAGGGGGGGAGACCCCGGTGAGGCGCGCGCCCGGCAGCCTGCCCGAGAAGTTTAGCGCACCGATGCCCTCTCAACATGGCCGCCGTTGTTTGTTCGCGATCCCCTCCCGGCCGCCCGCCCGCCGCCGCCGCCGCC